AAGCAGTCTGGTTGCTGGTAGAGAATGCAAGGTACCGGTAGGCCTTCATGCTGGTAACAAGCGGTCTGGTTGCTGGTAGAGAATGCAAGGTAGGCCTTCATGCTGGTAACAAGCGGTCTGGTTGCTGGTAGAGAATGCAAGGTAGGCCTTCATGCTGAGGATGTTGTGCTCTGCTTACATGTGCATTCTCCAATCAGATAGAGGGGAGGCATGCTGAAAACTCCATGGGAAAGTATACGCAAGCAAAGTGTGATGTCACAGGTCAATTGAAAGGATAGCCTCGTGTGCATGCACGCATGACGCCGGGCCCTTTACCAAAGGGGAGGGGGGCCCGATTGGTAAGCCAGATGGTAAGGCAGGTGGTAAGCAAGATGGTAAGCCACATGGTAAGCCAGATGGTAAGCCAGATGGTAAGCTAGATGGTAAGCCACATGGTAAGCTAGATGGTTAGCCAGATGGTACGCCAGATGGTGAGCAAGATGGTAAGCTAGCTGGTAAGCCAGATGGTTAGCCAGATGGTTAGCCAGATGGTAAGCCAGATGGTGAGCAAGATGGTAAGGCAGGTGGTAAGCAAGATGGTAGGCCACATGGTAAGCCAGATGGTAAGCCACATGGTAAGCTAGATGGTAAGCCACATGGTAAGCTAGATGGTAAGCCAGATGGTAAGCCAGATGGTTAGCCAGATGGTTAGCCAGATGGTAAGCCAGATAGTTAGCCAGATGGTAAGCCAGATGGTTAGCCAGATGGTAAGAAAGATGGTAAGCCAGATGGTAAGCCAGATGGTAAGCCAGATGGTAAGCCAGATGGTAAGCAAGATGGTAAGCCAGATGGTAAGCTAGATGGTAAGCCACATGGTAAGCCAGATGGTAAGACAGATGGTAATCAAGATGGTAAGCCATGTGTTAAGCCACATGGTAAGCCAGATGGTAAGACAGATGGTAAGCCAGATGGTAAGACAGATGGTAAGACAGACGGTAATCAAGATGGTAAGCCACGTGTTAAGCCACATGGTAAGCCAGATGGTAAGACAGATGGTAAGACAGATGGTAATCAAGATGGTAAGCCACGTGTTAAGCCACATGGTAAGCCAGATGATAAGACAGATGGTAAGCCAGATGGTAAGACAGATGGTAAGACAGATGGTAATCAAGATGGTAAGCCATGTGGTAAGCCACATGGTAAGCCACATGGTAAGCCAGATGGTAAGACAGATGGTAATCAAGATGGTAAGCCACGTGTTAAGCCACATGGTAAGCCAGATGGTAAGACAGATGGTAAGCCAGATGGTAAGCCAGATGGTAAGCCAGATGGTAAGACAGATAGTAAGCAAGATATGGTAAGCCAGATGGTAAGCTAGATGGTAAGCAAGATGGTAAGATAGATTGTAAGACAGATGGTAAGCAAGATGGTAAGCCACATGTTAAGCCAGATGGTAAGCCACACGGTAAGCTAGATGGTAAGCCAGATTTTGTCAGTAAAACAGCAGTTGAGTAGAGTCCGAGGTCCTTTCACTGATCACTTACACTTGGGTTTGAAACACTGTTATACTTGTCAGCATTACATGCTGCGGAACCTTCACGTAATCGATTTACAAATTTGAGGGACTTATTTCCCCGACAGCTGAGAGAGGTTGTCTTCTGAACTGCCATTTCAGACATCAGTCTGTAAAGGCGATAAAAGTCAGGAATTTTTACAGGGTAGGCTCGTCTGAGTAGCATTGGCAGGGTGCATGTTGCTGAATCCATCAGTGATGCAACCAGGATTCGTCCGGGGGAGGGGAGTTGTTCTGACCCTTATTGACCCCAGCATAGTTCATAATGGTCACCTCCCCCCTTGGTTGACACTGACTGTCATGTCTGAAACAAGTTTACACAGCTATGGCTAATTTGTAACCAGTGGAAACCGGGACCAACCATACATGTATATATTTCCAGACAAAAGATTCCAGAGAGCAGAATTCCAAGATAAACCGAACAAGTTTTTGCAAAAATGCAGAGTTCAAACTGGTTTGGCCCAATGGCCAAACAAATAAGGCACTCTTCAAGTTGATAGGTGGAATTTAAGACCTACTTCTTACTCAACAACCTTACAGCGGGGGGGGGGAGCAGATGTCATTCATACTCATTGTGACATATGAAATACAGTATTGTGACTCACATTTGGGTTTGTTTCGCCATCATACAAATTGGAGGCACACCTGCCAAATCCTTTTGCAAGTAAGTTCTCTGTACTCAGAAGTCTTTCCCCACGTTTGCTCAACACAGACATGTCTGACATCAGATGCTTCACAAAATCTGAAAAAAAATGACAGGACAATAAGCAGGCATCATTTCAAGAAGCAGATGGCTTTTATTATTGTTTTGTTGGGTGACGTAATCAATCAGCACGATCACATTGCAAAGTTAGCTTCCTGTAGACATGGTCTTTACTTCCCTTTTTTGAAACAAACTTTCAGAAATCAGAAATGAATCAGAAAGAAAATGTAATTGTCTGAAGTCTTGAAGGTATCAAGATTTTATGGCAAGATCACCGTAGACAAACTGACAGAGATCATACAGAGATCAACCGATTGCGTCTACTAAACATGCCAAAACTACAGGCCTAGTTACAATCCAACAATGGACCTACACGCGCGGCGCTGGCAGGACTGGTCATGCTGGTTGGGGTTTTACACAAGTGTCAATAGGCTCAATTCAAGTAAACCTTTCATACATTCATATTTTGTATTCAAATTTAAATGACAAAGTGCAGCAAAGTCACAAGCAATGTACAACCTTCATGGCTATTCGGGAAAAATTCAATAGCCTAGGCCTAAACTTAGCAGAGCTCGCCATGCGCTGACATGACCCGCATGACTCACGTCTGGAAGGACAGCTAGGCCTAACTTGTTTTAATTTCACCATACGTAGGCTTAAAAGCTTTTTCGCTTCAGTGATTAACATAATTCCCCGTGGACATGATGGACCAGAATATGTACCTGATATTTATGATTGACTAAATCATATATATCAGGTATGAACAAATCAAATCCTCAATGATACGTTACCGACCAGTCGTTCCTCTCGATCGGTCGTGCGTTCAAGAACAACACGAGGCCATCGCCAGCAGGCTGCGTGATCAGGTGATGAATCGGCCAGCATAACAGCGCCCTCTATTTAGTTCTGACTAGTAAATGCTTTTCCTCATGCTGCGTGTGAGTTATATGTGCGAATAATTATAGCCTGGTGCCCCCTCTCAGGTACCCCTCACTGAAAAAAAAACCGGAGGAATGGATGTTGAACAAAGCTAACAAAAACTTGCCCTCAACACACCGTTGAAAGCTAGTGTCCCCCCGCATAAGATTCTGGTGCCCTTTTGTGCTCCCCACCGAAATCCTAGCTACGTACCCCATTGAAGTTATCGCGCGCTACAATATTGAGCAAAGAGCGAATGAATTGAATAATGACTGAAATTCCAGTTTAACCCGAGCCACAATTATTGACCACTCGACCACACTCAAGTATCGACGGGTACTGAGTCGACTACTGCGGGCAAATGATTTGACTCAACCCTCCCCCGCGCAACACCCTCTCAGAGAAAAAAGTCATGCCGATTCGGATGCTATCCGGACGACTTGTAAATGAAATAGATGGGTTACATAGAGTACTTTGGGGGGAAAGGCATGCAGACCCGAAAGCACAAGCAAGCCTATAATGACGCCACATGGGGTCGACTTCTGAACTTTGCTTATTATTCCTTGCCGAAGCTGTAATTTGCAATACGTTTAGTGTAGCATGGTTTCCGATAACGGCAATAGCTTTGCCAACCTCTCCTTTCAAACAGTATCGGTTAACAGTTTCCTTGTTCCGGCTCAAGCGACCGAATAACCTCAAAACCAGTCAGACTATATCGTGCCAACACGTAGGCTTTGGGTTTCCCAAGCGCAGTTGCGCAATCCCGAGCGGGGCTGTCCCAAGGACATCCTAGACTTGCTACAGAGCACTGTGGCTTACACCCTGCAATGATATACTACACTAAGCCATGGGCATAGAAGTCAGTACTTCCCCGCTGAAATGGTTACAACAGCTACCTTTGGCGGCCGGGCTTCCGGACCAGACTCCTTGCTGTATGCTTCAAGGTCAGGAAATGGGCCGTCGGTTGGCCCCGTGCACCGTTTCAGATCAACTTTGCTGACTGGGTCAAGTCTAACTTGTTTACGCGGGCGGCTGTTATTGTTATGGGGATATAGGCCCATAGACCTCCGATCTCACCGTGAGCTAGGAGTGTAAGTATGACCATACAAAGAGCAAGGAACGGCAAACAAACTTAACGACCCAGTAGGTGATAGGCTCTATGGAGAGGGTGACTGGTGACGTGTGTAGTTATACCATGGAGGTGGTTTTACTGTATAATGCCATTAATGGTGAGGTAGTCTGTAGTCCGGTTTTCCTGGCTGCCTACAAATTCAAGTTTACAAATTCCATGGGTCATGTTGTAGCTTAGAATGATGGCGTCCGGTGGAGGATCTGAAGAAGACGGTAAGTCGAAAATAATTTACTGATGTTATTATAGCCTGCTTAAAAGTCTCTATAGTACAGAATTTAGACTGCACCGACAGATATATTTAGGGCCTATGGCCAGCGCATTTTAATAAACGGGGATGCGTAGAGTCCCTATACTTCCAAAATGTAGCGAAGGCACGTCACCACCCCCACGGTTCAACAAGTCATTAATTTCAGGTCTTTACCACTTGTGTTTTGAACCTAAGTCCAACAAAATTTATGCCGGGTGAGTGGCAAAGGAGAAATCGACTCACTGCAAGCTTTGTCTTAGTACAGGAAGTGACAAGTCTCATTTAAGTTGGCAGATCAGGGTAAACGGCTCTTTCCGTTTATGAACATGCACTCGGATAGCCAAATGCATATTTTGAGTCGAACATTCTCTCATTGGCTAAACTCTACTGATTTTAACTTTGCAAATGAATTTCTGCAGGCCACAAGAAACCGTTGCCAGACGGCATAACCATCGTGAATCATTACCACTTTGTGAATTCACCACTGACCTTTGGAATCAGCTCAGGAAACACAGTTAATTATGGACCAGGTAGGCCTACAGTACTTGCAAAAACATCTGACAAAGATCTTTAACAATTCCAATAGTCTTAATACTGTTTTGGCTTTTTATGTTAGATTCCTGAAAAAAGGCTGAGAAACTATTGACTCGATATGCCATACAATGACCTCCCACAATGAAAGGGAATCCGAAATTCAATTTGAGAAAATTAAAGGTCATTACAACAAAGTCTACTTTTTGGATATACTCCGAGCATGAAGGAAATGCTAAGGATCTTTCAATGCAGTTATTTAGAAAGCAATTTTGAGCACTGACACAAAGATGTGTAACTCCACACAAATGATTTTGACATGACGACTACATTTTCTATGAAACGCGTACAACACGCAACACAATTTCAAACAGTCCTTTGCAAAAGTCTGGACGGCTTTTTAATGATTTGACAATAAATGGCTATTTTTTTTTGCAAACAGAGGTGCGTCTTAAGCTGGAAGGACCGCCTGAGTTGTTGAGTATCATGAGTAGTTTGATAAACGAACAGGGAGAGAACTCGTCCATGTCGCTAGAGGAACTTCGAAGAACATGTGACGTCACACCTGTGAAAGTGCGCAAGGGATGCGTGGAACTCACACTACGTGTTGCAAGTCAGAAAGGTCTTGAAAAACTGCGTGATATTTGTAACAGCGGGGAACTCAAGCATATCATGGGAGCAGAATTTCCCATCAACAACTTGAGGATGGTTGAGGAGGACTTTTTGGAGGCCAACAGATTCTTTGAGACTGAAAAAGGTAAGTTTAAATCTGTCTTGACTTTAATAACATAACACATGAGGGACCATTGAATGATTTTCATTGTCGCTTAAAACCATCATTGAGCCTTTAGGTGTACTAACACTCGACTTAGGCACAGCTTTTGTATGAGGAGAATCTAAGACAGACCGCATGATGCCACGAGGAAGAAACTCCCCCAAATGACTTCACTTCAGACGATGAAGACTTCTCATCTTCATCTCTCACCCAACATCTTGCCTTCTTTCATCAGGCTAAAGTGTCACATACACTCTCATCACTTCAGTTTAAGTTCCGAGTCACAACAATTTTCACGTACAGGTAAAATAGCGGCAATACCCGGCGTCCATATAACTAAACAGGATTATAACTCGAACCGAATCTTGTTTTTCTTTAGCTAATATGAAGAAAGAGCTTCAGACAGAGGTGGAGAATTTTGAGCGAGCTGCTTGCGACTACGTAGGATGCCGACAGAACACCGTGAGATTGCTGAGGGAATTGGTCGATTACATAACTCGTCGCCAGAGACAATCCCAAGCTGCCGCGGTAAGAGTCGATACATTTTCCAACCGACCCCTGGGGCATCCGTCTTCCTTTTCCTCCGTTCAAAGCAGTGTAACCATCCATGGTGTAACCAAATTTAGGCTGGAAGGAAAAGGTTTGCTCACTTGTTAATAACGTGTGAAATTGTATTACTATTGCCAATGGGTGTACAGGGAACAAGACAAACATGGCGGCATCTTGATAAGGTCTAGTTACGACCCCTTTTTATTCTCTTTTCAAGATTATTAATAGTGAAATACTTTATCTTTCTTTATAGGCTGCGGGAGCGGCCGGTGCTGCTCTCGCTGTGTTCACCCTTGGAGCCTCACTTCTGCAATCGGCCGTCGCTGGGGGTGCGGCCTTAGCGATTGTGGCCGTGATAGCTCAAGGAGTCACGGCCAAAATATCGACAGACGAGGCAAAGAGAATCATGGCCAAAGACAAGAAGGCATGCGATCGGGTGAACAAGGCTTTGGAGAAGATCGAATTAAAATTACAGAGAGGAAAGGAGAGAGACTTAAGTACATTAGTGAATTCCATATACGATTTAGTTAGGGTGGATAAGATGAATCTGAAACGGGGTGAAGACGCGATCGAGACAATTGACGGAAAGGGCCGGGGAGCATTTATCCACTTTGTGGTTATCGCAGGAACGCTCGATTCGATAATAATGCACATATTGGACGTATTCAGTGCAGACATTTCTAAAATGGCCAAGAAAATTTCAGAAATTGCTGACAAACTTGCTTGTCCGGACGAAGCGTCCATGAAGGCACTTGTCTCACAAATTAAAGATAAGTTCCAACTCGACGCTTCTTAATGGGATCGTAGTCAGTTCAGTTCACAACTGAACATACCAATCTGCTCAAGAAGTCCATTTTACTTCCCAATAGCCGGCTCAAGATTCTATAGTTTTTGAAAATAAAGGAAAATACCAAGTTATCTTGAACATTCCTTCTGTTTTCTTGCTTTAAAGATTCCGTTTACTCTACATGTATTTTAGTTATGTCATTTTAGTACGTTATCAATTTTATGAAGCGTCTAATCAGTACTTACGGTTAGTTGGTTGTACTTGTCTGACTGAGGCTTATTTTCGTGTACTTACTTCGTTCAATGTGACTGTGCGTCTGTAGGGTTTGTGACCTTATGACCTTTGAGTTTATTTTTGACATTGTGATGAGGTTTTATTAGATTGTGTCGACGATTCTGTTTGTGTAGGGGTCCATAGTGTTGTGTACACCCGAAGCGAATGTACACTTATTCAAAGCACTTTGAGGCAGAATTTATCTGCAGTTTAAAAAAAAATTCATCAGAGGCATTTATTTTCGATAACCCTAACAGTCCCAAATCCTCCGAGTGCAATGTGACACTACATACTTACAAATAAATTTTTGTTGGTACTGTTGTTGCTATTTAAAGAAACACACTCCACATCACAACTCTGTTTTCTGCAATATTTATTCCAAAATTCACCTCTAATAAGTTGAAATAATTACGATAGTAGAAACTTAAAAAGAACAGTTCTCTGCCTTAGATGTTGACCGTAAATCAGTAAATTATAATCACTGAAAGTCTTGAGAGAGAGAGAGAGAGAGAGAGAGAGAGAGAGAGAGAGAGAGAGAGAGAGAGAGTAGAAGTTGAGGTGGGGTTGGAGATTCTTGAACGGTTAGAAAAAAAATATGAAAATAAAAAGCGATTTAGCCCCCGACTAAGAACACCTGAATACTCTGAACTAGCTATCAAGGCTCCATAGGTTTCTTAAGGTAACTAGACTACCAATAAGATTAGATATCCGTTTCAAATTCCAGTCATTCCTGTGTCGAAATCTTTTCAGGAGGTGGCGTTGCTAGTTCACCTCAACGCACACACCTTCCACCCTCAGCCGATCACCTCCAGTCACGATGTTTTGAACGGTCATCTTGAACCGCTGGCCGTTGATGGTGAACGTGTTTGAACTGAACGGTAGCTCGCCAGACAAACTGGCCACTAGAAAAGGAACACGACGAATCAGGGAATGTTTCGTTGTAAAGCAATTTTAGTGACATCGACTGTCGGTCGGATTGTAGTTACAGATAAATTGACAGATTTAAAATTGTCTGTACAGATGAGAACGCGTGCATGGAATGTTTTAGTGCAGTGAATTAACGCACTTGTCCAATCCCATTGATATAACAAGTTCCTAAGTGTGAACTGATACAGACCAATCAGTGGCCTAACTTGGGCTAAATGTCCATGGGAGGGGCACTCAGGGGTGCATACATTTATTCAAGGGAGCACCAAAAGGAAAAAGCTGCAACTGTATAACGATATTATTCAACTGAGATTTTTTTTGGGGGGGGCGGCACCTGGAGAGTCACAGGCATTCACGGGGGGGGGGACACATGTCCCCCGTGTATGCGCCACTGAGACCAACAGAAGGCCAAAGCGATCATTCGAAGGTTAGTTTATTCCAGTCAAGGAAGCGAATCCAAATTCTATGAAATTACCTGTCTTCACATAGTCCACGTGAAGATCCCAGTATCCTTCTCTATTACAGCAGTATTCGAGTCCAATGGATAACTTGTAAGCATCCCCGTCTGGTTTGTATTCGATGAACGCAGCTGAAAAACAAGTCATACAGGGTAACCCCGTCATGTGATAGATATCGTAGATACCATATCTATGGTCGTTACATATTCCCCCAATTTTTTTTTTCGAAACGTATGTAGGATAAACGTTTCTCAGACAACACATAAAGGTTAACAAACCATAAAAATGTCTTGTGACACAAGAATGTACAAGCAAAGAAACAAAAATATATCATTTATTGCTCACATCCAAAGTCACCGACTTCAACATTACAACCAGTATCCCAGCAGAAGAAATCATCGGCGGCAGCGCAGGCTGGCAAAAACAAATAGGCAAGTATTATCAGCTCGGTAAAATATAAAGTGAACGTTTACAGTGCTAATTATGATGGCTCCGATCTGTCGTAGGCCTACGCTATTCACAAGCGTACCTTCCTGTCATGCTGTGCCTCTTTGTAGAGTTTCTGTTAAATCTACAAGGTTTATGAGAAAATGCATTAGAAAATGTCTTCCTTGCTTTTGTCATTGGTTGTCGTCAGCAAAGGCCTACACTAAAAAAAAATCTATCGTTTTGTCTGACCATGCTATGCTACATGCATTCATATAGTCTTTCTAAAACTTGGTGGTCCTGATAATAACAAGGTTTGTTGAAATATCTGATCAAGAGTGCAGAGACTTGACACCGTAAAGTAAAACGCAGAGCCCTTAGTACAGTTATTGAAGGGAGGTAGGTGTATTCTCGATCCGGGGTCAGGGTGGGTGATAACCTTTTGCAGAAATATTTTTCGTTTACCTGGTTGCATTTGTCGTTTGTCTTCCAGAAGACGAGAGATCAGTTCTTCAATCAGTTGGCTCTGGGAACGACGCTTGAGCTACATGCAACCCAAGAGAAGTTATAGGAAACAGTAACTAATGAATTGTCGACAAATGCACGGACACTTGCAGAAAAATGGTTCCATAATTCATAGTATGTTGAAATAAGGGGCCTAGCGTCTACACGGTCACGGATGTTATATATTTTTCCCCAGGAGCCTACATAATCCTGTATGACTGCCCAAAACTACCATTGTGAAATGTTGCAAGTGGAACTCCATGTCTAGTTCGACAGACAGTCGGTAGGACTAACTTGAGTCAGGTTCCCACTGGGATGATCAAACAGCATTTGCTTACAATCGTGTCACTCCATAACAGGAAGTGAGTAAAACATATCTGGAACAAACATACCTCGGGAAACTCCTGGACGGTCCGGTGTTCAGGCCAGGCCAGGACCTGACAAGCCAAAAGGCCGAAAACAACGAAGACCAGCAAAGATCGCATAATGTTCAGTTATCAGATGAAATGGCTGTCAGGATAGACGAGGAGGAACCAACTTCACAGCAACGAGCGCCAACCAATAGAAGTCGATCGGAGGAGTGGCCTTTTGTGTCACAATGCCAAACAAATCGTACTATATCGTGGTACAATAAGAATAGTCAGCGAGGTCGCGCATCTGTGACTCCTGACTATCTCAGTAAATCCCCTATAAAGAGGTGTCAATACTTCTACGTTCAATATTCTCAATGGAGGTCAACCAACAAAATTAAGGCATTGTGGTAAGGCAACAAAAAGCAATTTACATTATATCGTATGACCTTACGAATCCGAAATAGTGAAAGTTGCGTGACCACAACTGGTATTTTACAGTCGCATCCAAACCAAATTTTGTAGGGGTCAACATAAGCTGCATGCCTCGGGGAGAAGAAGGAAAACAAATTCGGGGATTTCTTTTTGTAATTAAATAGCCCTCTATGGCGCTATTCATGCACATTCGAGCGGAGGACATCACAAATAAGACATCATTTATACCACAGGTTTCGTACGAGGTATCTTTGTGGACCTTTTCGGCTTAGACCTAATAGGATCTAACCTGCTTTTCTTCATACGATTACGTTCTCTTTCGTATCAACGTGGCCATCAGTCATCAGGCTATAAAGCCCCGCAGTTTTGTCAGACTTCGTGAATTCTCTCTGACTTCGGAACAATGGTCCAGTGAGAAACGAAGCCCGACATTCTCAGTTGATTTATCCCTTGTCCTTTAAATCGTTTCCAGGGTTATAAATTTGAGTCACCAAATTCCTAGTGCCATTGTTAATACGTCTGTGTGTATAATAGGCATCGTAGGTGCAGTAACAATGATTTGGACATAAAATGATAGAACTTGAACAATCACATTTACAACTTCAAATTTTCTGTTTTGGCTTAATTTCCAGCTCCGTTTTGAACGACTGCAACCAAGCATACAAAAGTACAATTCTATAACCTCGTACGTAGGCCTACTTGTAGAAGTAATGTAGATAACCGATGTTGATAAGAACGACCGTAGAGAACAGAAAAATGGTTTTCATCCTCATCTGTAGTAAAAAATACAGATATGATCAGCACATATTGGTACTTTTTCCAAAGCTCGATTTTTTTTTACTGTAAAACCGGTTTTGAACGTTTTGTGAAACTGAATTGAGAGACACCTTTTGGTGGACAATTACAGAACAGACATCGATAACACCGCTATGATACAAATACAAGCAAAAGGAAGGGAATTTCACTTAAACTTTTGAATACTTTTTTATATCATAAAAATAACGAATTCACATGGAATTAGTTCATTCCCTCAAGAACATCAAATCTCTACTACTTAACTTTCTGTTGCATGTGATTAATGCATGTACAGTTGGATGCCTTCGTGACAATGATGATATTCATGCTGGACAAAAAGTGTTCTTTTAATATTCTTCGTTGAAACAAGAAATTCCTTTGCTAACTATACAGTTTAAACGAAGCGAAGTCTCAACTTTGTGAAAACCGAGTATATGAGATTTATTTTCTTGTCTAAGATTTCCACTTGCTTCTTTGCAGGAATCTAATAGTGCAATGAACTTGCCAAGTTCTGCATAGGATTGAAAACCGGAGAACGAAGCACCTGCAAGAATTCAATTTGCAGGTTGGCTAATCACAATGCAAAAAATCTGCCGACCCTTTCCAAACGCGTGCTGGGTCGACAGATTTCGCGCAACGTGATTGGTCAAAGCGTTGCAAATTCTTGGAGGCGAGCTACTGTGAAACGCCCGTATTGCTCCATTACTTTTAAAGAGTGCCACATATTTTTTTTGACAGCTGTTTGAAGTATTTTAACGCAAAGAGTTCCATGTGTGAACGCCACTTATGACATCCTGTGCATACCGTGATCCTTTGAGTCTGGTCTGAAAAATTAGCCTTTCAGAAGTATGGCGGACACAATGTGAGGGTGCTATTTGAAGTGAAATTTGGAGCAAACACAAAAGATTTTATCCAAACCAAAAAGCGCTCTCCTATCGTGTCCCCCGTGCCCGCCAAAAGGTTAAGAGTTTTATCAGCCACTTGTAGGAAAAATATATAGACCAGACTCCATAATCCTGGTTAATAGGGTCTTTGGATAAGAAGAACGAAGTATGTATTGAAAATCATAGCATATAGGCCTAACGTGCCATTGCATAATTTTGTAACTTTGCCAATGGGGACGCAAAATTTGTCTCAGGGGAATTACAACGCACACGGCCCCTCAGAAATGTTGCTTAAATATTTTTTTTCAGCAGTAATAACATAAGGTGACTGGAAGGGACTGAAACTTTACCTTAAGAAATTCCTGGAAGGGGCCTCCTTCAGACCAGACGAGGATCTGGCAGACCGGAATCCCCAGAACCACAGGACGGGACGGGTAGAGGTCGTATCGTGCCATATGATGCAAGATACGGGCGGAGAGAACCCCCCCGCCTTTGTGCTGGTCACTGTTTGATGGGAATCTCAGGAATTCTTTACAGACTTCTAGGGGGATGTGTTAGGTAACAATAGTCTAGAGTGCGTATAGGGATTGGACATGTAGGGGGGGTATCCATCATGTACAGTAAGCTGAGATGTATAGACTCAAAGCAACTGAACAACCGCAAATGGAGTGTACGTACGGCGCACTGTACCTATTTTTATGTTGAACTCATCTTACGTAATATGCAAATAGTTCCCCCATGGTTGTTTTGTGCAAAACAGGCATGGTTGTGGATTCTAATGATAGCTTGTCAAATCTCTCACCAGTATTCAAGTTTTAATGCCCTAACAACGCCAACCTGGAGGTAGCCAGATGTTACAATAGAAGGACGCAGGCGTTTGAACTGCTTTCTTTTCGGTCCCTGTTTTTGGGGTATGGAATACCTGCATGGCTACCGAGCGCATCAGAGAGCGACTTGTTTCATTCTCAGGCGGAGAGTTGGGTTTTATGTCATACTCTGATAGACTCCTACCCTGGAATCGCCAAAAATCTCTCTTGTCATTTGTGATCAAGGGATTAATTAATATTGTCAAACACATTATGGTAAATGAAAGACGCTCTAAAATTTCAACTTTTACGCATTTGTTTGCCAGGACTCAGGGTCTACACCAATCACTAATTCATCAGTTTCCCCGACTTTGGTCAGAATTACCCGCTGATCTTCGTAATACTTGGATTCTGATGCCCCTCATCAGATTTTTAGGGTCACTGGCGCGTAATATCCTGCTCTCCTCATATTGTTTGTTTGTTTTTCTTTTCTGGCAGCTTGGTCTGGTTCTTTGTACTCATATCATTGTCCATCCCATTTTGTTCGTTTTTGCTAGGCCTTTCCAATGTGGCCATTTTGTTAGTCCTTTGTCATTGCTGTCCCTGCTTTTAATTTGTATTTGCATTTGACAAAATAAAATAATTAGTAATAGTAATAGCATGATGTTCGGCATCAGACAATATGGCTGTCCAGACAGACAAGACGCTAATTTCACAGCAACGCACGCAAGTGGATAATAGTGAACAGCTAGGAGCCTGCCTTTTATTTCACAATTACCTCATTGTGCCTTACTTTCCTACATCATTGCAACAAACTAGTCGGCTGAGTTGTGATGGTTGACGAATCCCAGTAAATTTGGGACGGAAAAGATAGTACCACCTCTATCACGTAAATGAAGCATTCAAACCATTCAATGTAAACGAAAGCAAGACAGTTTAGGCCTACAGAGCAACCCGCCCAGGCAATTCCTACCAAACCGTCGAGCTGTTTTGCGCAGTAGTGACACGGGTGGACCAAATCCCAGGTTTTTGGCAGCTTTTCGGGTGGCTGGGTCCAAACAATTTGGATATTTCTTAACCTACAGTGACCCTGTTGAATGGCGAGGCTGAATTCTGGGGCTGATACCATGCACGATATGGGGCCGATGGGTCCCCCCCCACATGTCCAATCCATATACACACTCTAGACTATTGTTACCTAACACATCCCCCCCCCGAAGTCTGTAAAGAATTCCTGAGAATCCGATCAAACAATGACCAACACAAAGGTGGGGAGGGGGTTCTCCCCACCCCATATCTTTCATCATATGCTGGGGCTTACCGTCTGAGAACGAAAACGCCATAACTCCAGAAATCACCTGTCTCTCACTCATGTTTTAACAAGGACAGAAGCAAATTGTCAGAGGAAAAACTTGTTTTGAGGATCAAAATCAGGATTTATTTTTCCTGTTATTGGGGCTTTTTCTGTTGACATATAGAAGTTAACTGTGGATATATAAAAGGACCTCAGGGGCGGATCCAGGAGTTTTTGAGGAGGCGTGGGAAATATTTGTTCGTAACCCATCCCATTCTCTGTTCGCAAACCCCTTTAAAACCAACATTTAGACCCAGGTCCCTTCTTGAAAAATTGTCATAAGCAGAAGGAGGTTGGTCCTCAACCCGCTGGATCTGCCCCTGCTCATTGAACAAGTTTCTTGAGGGAGTCGTCCGTTACACCAACTCAGTGCCGTAGACAAGGAGGGTACTATAACTGCCCGGGAAGAGCCTGGCTTCGTCACTTCGTAGTCGATGACTTGACAAAATCGGATAGCTCCTAGGCTTAGAGGTTTTATGTCTCTTTGTCCGTATAAGAGGATGGCATCAGATGAAGCGTATAGGTGACTGACCTGGATTTCAATGCAAACTAAACAATACGCAATAGCTTGATGGCTTCATCGCTGTCTTCACGCAATGGAGAACTGAAGGGGCTCGATTTGTGAATCTTAAGATTGAAACAAGCACAAGAGAAACATGTTGAAATTTTTCCTGTCCTTACCACAGTGTGAAAAAAATTACAGAAAGACCTAATAAAACACGACGGGCTTGTGAATGTTTCACCCTGTATCGTTGCTGCATTACAGATATTTCAACCACATATTTTACTAATACATTTTTGGTTGGTACTGCTGTTGTTATGTTAAAAGCAACACACTGTATATCATACTTTTTTCTGTAACATTTATTCTAAAAATTCACCCCTAATAAGTTGAAATAATTATGGCAATGTTAACTTAATAGAGAGGAACCGTTCTCGGCCTTAGATGTTGACCATTAATTAGTAAATCATTATCAATCACAATCATTAAAAGACACGAACCCTTTTTTCCATATTTCTCTGTTGCTCCAAACTGTTACCTCCCATTAAGCGTATGTGTTTCTCCGGCAAATGTTTGAGCTACAATTGATAAAAAGATGTCAGCCCAACAAGACCGTGCTAAACCTTAACCACATCTCGAATATCAAAATAAAAAAAGAAGAAAACAAGTTTTGTGCATTTTTTGTTTGGGGATACTTTGGAGAGTTTTTCCACTTTAGAAACAGTCATAATATTGCCTTTCTGGGGTTGGGGTATTGAGGTGGGGTTAGAGATTCTTAAACGGTTAGAAACAAGTAAGAAAAAGTCCATTAAGCCCCCAACTAAGAACACCGCGGATACTGTGGATTACCTATCAAGACTCCATAGGTTTCTTAAGGGAACCAGATTACGAATAAAATTAAATTTCCGTACGGTTTCTAATTCCAATCATTCTTGTGTCCAAATCTTTTCCGAGAAGGAAGGGCGCTGCTACATGTAGTTCACCTTTTCAACGCACACACCTTCTACCTTCAGATCAGCACCTCCAGTCACAATTTTTTGAACGGTCATCTTGAACCGCTGGCCGTTGATGGTGAACGTTTTTGAACTGAATGGAAGCTTACCAGACAGACTGGCCACTAGAAAAGGAACACGACGAATCAGGGGAATGTTTCGTTGTACAGTAACTTTAGTGACATCGACTGTCGGTTGCGGGTTGAAAGTATACATAAACACACAGATTTAAAATCGTGGAGAGAGGACGCGTGGAATGGTTTTTATAGTACTGTGAAACGCATTTGTCCTATCCCATTGACATGAACAAGTTCATTATTGTGAACTGATACAGACCAATCAGTGGCCTAACTTGGGCTAAATGTCCGTGGGAGGGGGCCCCAGGGGTGCACACAAGTTTTTCAAGGGGGTCCCCACAAGAAAAAAAGCTGCAACTGTATATTACTCAACGGAGATTTCAGATGGGGGGGGGCACGTGCATCCGCGGGGGGACACGTCCCCGTATATACGTCACTGAGACCAACAGGAGACCAAAGGGATCATTCGGGGAGTTTATCCCAGACAAGGAACAGAATCCAAATTTTAGGAAATTACCTGTCTTCACATAGTCCACGTGCTCATCCCAGAATCCTTCTCTATTACAGCAGTATGTAAGTCCAATGGATAACTTGTAAGCATCCCCGTCTGGTTTGTACTCGATGAATGCAGCTGAAAACCAAGTCATATAAGGTAACCCTGTCATGTGACCGATACCATAGATACCATATCTATGGTCGTTTAACAAAACGAATATTCCCCTAATTTTCTTCTCGAAACGTATGTCTGGTGACAATTTGCCATTGTCATCATACCAAACTCGTAACTATTGGCACAAGAAACAAAACCAACCAAGCAAAAACGGTTAAATTTATTGCTTACATCCAAAGTCACCGAGATCAGCATTGCAACCAGTATCCCAGCAGAAGAAATCATCGGCGGCAGCGCAGGCTGGCAAAAACAAATAGGCAAGTGTTATCAGCTCGGTAAAATATAAAGTAAACGTTTACAGTGCTAATGGGAGACTTTGAGACGCATGGTGGCGGCAAACAAAAAACAAACAAACAACCCAACTAACAAACAAACAAACACCCCAACACCCCAATAAACACCCCAATAAACAAACAACACACAAACAAACCAACCAACACCCCAACAAACAAACAAACAAACACCCCAACAACCCCAACAACCCCAACAAACAAACAAACAAATACGTCCGTGTCTATGGTGCGCTATTCACAAATACACATTTCAGTCGGTCGTGCTGTGCCTCTATGTACAGTTTCGGTTAAATATCGGGGGGTAGCATAAGAGACCGCATTTCTTTGTTTTCTCTCTTTGTTCATGTTAACATACACTCAGAAAAAATGATTTGTCTCACTATGGCATGTTATAATATGTACACGCATACATATGTAGGCCTATGCCTTAAAAGTTGGTGGTTGTGATAATGCATGACAAGGTTCATTACCATTAAAATGACCAACACCTGACCAATATTGAAAAGACTACACAGCGTCAAATAAAATTGAGAGTACAGTTACTGAATGGAGGTACTTATACGTATGTTTACTCTCATTCGGGGTCAGGGTGGGCGGTAACTTTTTCAGGAAAAACCTGTTTACCTGGTTGCATTTGCCGTTTGTCTTCCAGAAGACGAGAGATCAGTTCTTCAATCAGTTGGCTCTGGAAACGACGCTTGAGCTGCATGCAACCCAAGAGAAGTTACAGGTAACTAACGATCAGTAAATTTTAGGCCGTGACGTATAGACACCACACAAATCCAAAGGTGCTTCAAGTTTGTTCATCAGTGGCCTAGGGCTACGTATTACACTGCCCCTCCTTCACAGTTGGTATTGCGTCCTACACCGAATTCATAAACATGTCAATGTTGCACGATACCAAATTTTACCGTAGATCATCAACCGTCTATTCTTGTGTTCAGACTTGGCTTTGGGCAGATAAAAATGCAAGCTTGGGTAAAAAAAGAATTAGAAAAGATAATTTATAATTGTAACCTCTAAAAACATCCAAAATACCGGAATAGGCCTACTTGAGAGAAAATCAAAGGCAACTAAAAATTGTGTCAAAACCCCCAAATGGCCAACGTCCCTTAGACCTACTATTAAGTCAGATTTGTGTTCACAGTCAGTGGTGAAATGAGCGACCTGGCGAGTAGACGGTCGGTCACGTACGTTGTAGAAGAACTGAACTTCTTGACTATATATATCGCCCCAAGGGCCTACAGGATGTCTTCAAAGACTGCCTCAAAACCACCATTCTGAAATGTTTTAAGTGGAGCTCCAGACGGCCGGTACATGTATAACTAATTTTAGTCAGGTTCAAAACACTGCTTACAACCGTGTCGCTCCATTATAGGAAGTGAGTAAAACACATCTGGAACAAACATACCTCGGGAAACTCCTGGAAGGTCCGGTGTTCAGGCCAGGCCAGGACCTGACAAGCCAAAAGGCCGAAAACAACGAAGACCGGCAGAGATCGCATAATGTTTAGTAATCAGAAAAGATGGCTTTCCGGACAGACGAATAGTAACCAACTTCACAGCAACGAGCGCAAACCAGTACAAGTCGATTAAAGAAGTGGCTTTTTGTGTCACAATGCCCAGCAAATAGTACCACTGTCGTGGCACAAAGGATAGTCCGCGAGGTTGCGGATTTGTGGATTTACATACTATCTCAGTAAATCCCCTATCGAGAGGTGTCAGTGCTTCAGCGCTCAATATTCCCAATGGAGATCAGCCGATAAAATTAAGGCATTGTGGTAAGTCATTAAAGCAATATATATAACGCGTACCACCTTGCCAACCAGATACAGTCAAAGCTACGGGGAGTTGTGACCACACCTGGCATCCAAACCAAATTTTGTGGGGTCAACTTAAGCTGCAGGAGTTTGGTAATTTGGGGAACGACTCGGAAGGCAAATGAATTTGGAGATTCATAACGGCCCTTCTATGGCGCTTTTCAGAATTCCAACTTTTTTCCCGAAATAAACAATGCTGTATTTGTTTTACTACACCTCATAAATATTCAAACAGAAATCTCACGTTACTTGTACTCACAGACGCCATTATTTGTTTCCCAGCTGCTAAATTTCCATGTAATGATAGTAGAGTGCAGATGTGCATAGAAACAGGGCTTCAATAGTCTGGTGCTGACATACGTTTTGGGTCTTTACTGTAACAGTTATTAGGATACAATCCCAGACTGGTTCCGTAAAGATTACATGACACAGACCACATATTTACGCGGCAGGTTCCAGAGGGATTTTTTATGCTACCAGAAAAAACTACCGCACGGAAGCGAGGTGGATACTCACCGCTATAACGTCACCTGGTCGCGTACCATTTCTATTTCCCTGACGCAAGGTGGAATTGGCCAATGACGCGCTCCAATTCGCTCATGAATATTTAAGAGGTGTAGTAATCAGGAATACAGTATGCGCAAGATCTCTAAAGTTTAGCCCTTTTTAAATGCGAACTACTGTATGTTATCAGCCTGAAAATGTCTTCGTAGTCCATGAAATTATTGCTTAAACTTCCGTTCACAAAACTTGACAAATATGCCTGATTTTTTTTTCCTTTTATGTCCTATCATTCCATCCTAAAATTCTTTCAGAGGGGAGAGAGGTAACGATAGAAGCCAGTTCTCTGAGGATATGGTTGAGATGCATGATATGATATACATCGTTGATGAAATAATAAGCGCTGTCACACTGCCCGTTTGCAAAAGGAAGTTGTGTATATACATATCTATTAAATTGCGTTTGTAAAAAAACCTTCCATCCAATTACAATGTCGCTAAATTACGTTACAAAAGAAAACCATTATAAATATATGAGCTTTTTTATTACTCCTAAACAACTAGCCCATTTCCATAATATATCAAACTTTATAATTCCTCTTATATAATGATTTGCTCCTTCTAAATAAGATCATGCGATTTTTCCATATACATGTATGGTAGATGTATCTACGACGCTAACGAAGTTAATTTAATTTTATATGACTGTAAGTTCAATTTCAGTTATTTACTGCAGATCCATCTCTCCTCTGCCCGTTGTTTCGTCATAATTGTGATGCTAAAATAAACTTAAAACAAATATTGAAATGTAAACAGAAAGTCTTGAGGGAAAAAACTGAAACAAGTCCCAAACTTGCACATTGCAATTTTTACTTAAAAGGGTAGATAAGAACCAGAATTTGCAGGGGGGGACAAATGTGAAATTTATTCATGTAAGTTTTTATGGCCATTCTGAAAAGGAAACTACATTTTGTAGCTTTTAATGCGCTTTGGTAGAATGAACTTGACATAGACGAAACACTGTCTTTCCTGCTTTTGTTTATTTTGGAGGGGGGGGGCTTTAGTATGGTCCCTGGTTCGCTCTTGAGTTGTTAAATGTCGACATTTGTGTTTTGCACTTTTTTTACATTCGACACAGACCACTTTTTGAAATGTCAAACTGTATACACGATAGTAAGACTAAATTTTGCGATCACCCTTTCGAAACATGAAATTAGTGAGCAAATATTATCAAAGCTAATAAATGTACAAGCCTTTGTTAAAGGAACCAGGTAATGGATTTTTCTAGAATCATTTTTTGTGTATCTCTGTACTCTTCTTCCATGTATGAAGACTGTTTGACATCTTTTTTGAGTTACGTGAACTGAACGGTGCACTTTTTGAATCATTATAAATTGACCAAGCATTTATGGACAAGTGAGGGCGCCTTTGCTTTGATGTAAATCCAGGAAGACAAAGTTCAGGTTGCATGATTTCATGTTCAAATTGTAAACCCAAATTTAATATCTGGAAACATTTCTATAAAAAGGATTTTTTGCTGGATTATTGCCATATATTTACACAGCAATAAATTGCCAAAGAAATAAAATCTGCCATAGCAGTGGATAAAAAATCTAGAAATTTTCAGTGCACAAATCAGTGCAACATTGAGATTTATTGCCTTGGATGACGTCATAGTTCTGCTCATGAATATGCAAATATGCATTAGCATAAAAACACAAAAGCATCAAAATCTGGGTTAAAATTGCAAAATAAAAATTAAAATCAGGTTAATTGAAACCCAAAGATACAATTTCAAGGGTTTTTTAAGGTGAAATTTATAAAAATATTTCCATTTCCTGGTTCCTTTAATTAATTATATCAGTACGGTAATTATATCAACTTAATACACTGTTCTTTGACGCACTTTTGTTAATTTACTATTGGAAGGTTTTCAATCTACACGTACATTAGACATGACAGCTTTTTGAATTTACGCCAGGCATACATCAACTTCATGCAGCGATTTATTCTTGGCCGGTCTTAAACGCACATTGAAGACCGTCTCAAGAGAACGGACGCGACTAATGCCCAAGTTAGAGGCGAGGGCAATATCAGCGTTCGTTCTTAGCACATATTTACTCCCATTCATCAATACCTTTGTATTCGAAAGGTCAAAAGCAGTTCATATATGATGAATTTCCTGCAATTTGGTTCTAGATTTTTACTTTCATTTTCCCCAACCACCCCGTCCATTTTATGGGATACTCCTTTTGAAAGTTGTCCAATAGAATACCCTTCAATGAACGCGGCACGTCGCGTGTACACAGACTCCTGACCAATCAGACCCGATTAAACTGTCTTGTATGCATAACCACCGATCTCCACCAATGATATCCTTATGTGCTGCAGCGACGGGTGGTATAAAAGTTCAAACTTTGCCGGAATGAATTAGTTGCCAGTAAGGGAATGGCCTGGTTCGTTCCCTTTTCAGCGGGCAATCATCAAATGTTATTACACGGTCACGTGATGCGTTTCTATAGTATGGAGGGTTGATTTTGGTGGTAGCAACGCGAAGCGGCGAAGTGCTTTTGCCCCTAACGGTGCCTCCGCTGTTAGGAATTTTTGCCCTCTCTTGGTCCAGCTCGGGGCTCATAAAGAGACGGGAGCTTGTAACATGGACTACAGCACGTCTTCCATCACAACGTTTTGGTTTTGGGGACCCTTCTGATAAATCCTGACGATGGAGCTATCATATAACGCAAGCCTCTGACCAGACTCGAACATACACATCCCGCGAATACCGGGCCATGGCTTGACAAACTGACGAAGAAAATTGCCATTGAGATCATACTGGATAATTTCAAATTGTCTGTTACATTTAGTGTCACTGACAATGAATACAAACGAATCGATTACAAAGAGACGAACTGGATTTAAAATATTTTGCACAATGAAATCCTTCTCGTCTATTTGCTTTTCAGTAACCTTGATCAGTTTTACTGAGCTCTGATTATCGCTTTTGTATACAAAGATCTCACCTGCTGAACCCCCAGCAAGTATTGCAGGGGAAAACTTGAGCTGGATAGACCTCATCTTTTGTCCTTGTGAATCAAACATAACGATGGAGTTATCAATGCCGTCCCCTGCGTATAGGTTGCCACTTTTGTCAACCGCCAGGTCGGTGAGTTCATGACTTTTGCTGATTAGAGGGACCTCCTCACAATTGCTAGAGGCGGCTGTCTTCTTGGTTGATCCGGCCTTTTCTTGAGCAGACTTCAACTTTTCTGTTTTCTCGTCCGTGGAAAGTGAACAAAAAAGGTCCTCACGCAAAGGTTTGAAACTTACGATGGTAATGTCTCCATGTGTAGTACCAAGAAGCAGACGACAACCGTCATGATGGGTTACCATAGTGATGTATTTTCCGGATTCATGACGAAGATTGGTCTTATGGTCCGCCGGAGTAAAATCCGGTGAGAATGTGTGTAAACCACTGCTATCCAGAACAGCCACGTACGAATTGTTGAAAACGGCGACGCTCTTCAACGAGAAGAAGTCATATCCCGGCTTTTTTCCTTTTTGGCCCAAAAAGAAATCAAGAATCCACTGATCTTGAGAACCTGTATCAAAGTCAAGGGAGAAAGATTAGAATTCCAAACTTTGTGAGAGATATAGGGATCATCTTTCAAAATATCAACAGAAAATACTTTAATCTTGATACCTCACGCCGACAGAAAAGACAAGTTTGCTAAGATTAAACCGTTCACTTATGTTTTCAAGTTTGAAAATTATAAATCGAAAACTACATTTCCAGGTACATGTGTAAAAAAAGACTTACCAGAGTCAACTTTTGGACCTTTTGGGTTTTCCAGCCAACGCTTGTAGCGTCTCTGTTTTGTGAAACACTTCCACCAGACAAGAAAAACGATGAAGATTACAAGCCATATCAAGATGACTGCCACACAGATGCCGATGATTGTCCCTAGATTACCCGAATCTGAAAGTTCAAAAAAAGTGAATACTCGCATTTCTTCGCAAGAACCAGAACGAATTTAGAAATATTGTAACTGCGATAGAAAAAGGAATGTGTTGCAACTTGAAATCGTGGCATCAATGGATTTGTGGACAGCAACATGTGTACATTCAAATTTGTACAAGGTAACAAGTAGTTGATGTCAAAATGTAACTTCAATAAAAAAAACCCACCTGTCATGCCTGTGATTTGTATAGAAACCCTCGAACTCTGAAGATAGAAACTGTCGGGTGTTGAAGACACGTGACACCAGAAACCAAGAGACTTTTCAGAAGGTATCGATTGGAGAATCAAATCATTATTAGAATCAACCTTATATCCCTCGGCATAAGAAACTTCCCCGTCAGAAAACACTTGTGCCGTTATCACTGTCTGTCCATCTGGTCCAGTGATTTCTTTAGACCAGTATAAGGTTGGCTTGCTAAGAGAAGAGGCTCTTTTGATTGGGCAGAAGATTTTGGGTTCCCGTTCGTCCCTCAGTATTGTGACATTGTTCCCATCTTTAATTGTACCACGTTCAGTTGGGAACAGATCATCTATGAACAGAAACACAATATGACCAAAAACATTAATCCACCGACTACAATTGCTCGGCACAAACATTGAGAATCATTCATCAAAATGTGAACGCATAAGATAACGACGTACTTAGACATGTGCGTAAGGCAGAGTGACTCTTTCTCGGAGAAAACAGCAGAACAACGAACACGCTCGGCATCATAACACGACAATAAACAAAATGTACAAAGACAAATGTCCACGTCACGAGAAAAGCATGAAGACTTACAAAAACCAGAGTAGTTACATATACAACCACAAAAGTCATTTATCGGTCGTCTATTTATTCAATACCTATCACGACGACTTCTACGTTGTTTTCTCTATCATTTGCCTCAACTGATGCCCCTTTTTTACACTGGTACGTCCCCCCGTCTTCGCCGACCACTGATTTGATGACGAGGCTCAAGTCTGGCGCCAACTGGTAGCGAGCCGCTGCACTGAAGTTGTCACCGTCCTTTGTGACGAGAACCAGCAGGGTCGACTCGAGCGCCCCGTCCGGAATCTGAGGCACCTTGTACCATGCGATCGCCTCAGCATCTGTACCGTTGGCCAGACTCATGCACGATATGCGCTGGGACTTTCCCTGCTGAAGATAGAACCTGGACTCCGAGACAAGGATGCCGTCTATGACAGTATTGGCACCTGAAAACCAACGAAGAACGTGAAAAAGGTCACCGTCTGATGTAACAAAACATAAAACGAAATATTGACAGCTGAGCTTTGCTTGGTGGTTTTTGCTGACATATCAATGCAGATTAATAGTTTCTAATCCATCAAGAACAATAAATAATTTTGTGTTTAAAATTCAGTGCACGTTTAATTACCACCACCTAAAATTTATGTCAAAGTAATTTCCGTACTTAAAAAATGGCAGTGACATTGATCTTGGCTCTTTTTCATCTGGAGTGACCGATCCCGTAAATTATTCTGCTTATACCTCCACATAATTAAGTCTGCGTGAAACCCTCCAAAACTAATTGTCAAGACATCGAAGGAAATCATTTCCCTCCTGCAGATTCAGGTCTAGCATGCATCATGCTATTATTAATACCACACAGATGTGTCAATATTGTGCATCAATATTGTGACGACAATGCCAGCGCACGTAAACTGAATAAAGGTCTGAAGTTCACCCGTCTGTGTTGCATTGCATGCATTTCCAATAGTGTCTCTTGTGTGGGTTTAAAGTTCACATACCTGCAGCGATCCTGGCAAAAACCCGCCAATATGCACAGACGGTTTCTTCATGCATGGAAAAACATCGTGATCAAGTTCAACAGCTAGTATGTGTTGGTACTGTACATGCGAACAGACCAGCAACAAGTCTGTATATAGCCTGGCAGTGCATATCTGGCTTGCGATGCGCGCGCAACCCCCAGCGCCATTCCCGTCATATACACACATCATACATGTAGTACCCGACATGGACTACATACAGTGAGTGTCATTTGAATCACAGCACATACGACTCACTAGTTTATGTTCATATCTATATGTAGCCACATAGGCCTACACGTACCATTGACTAGGAACACATTGCACACCAGAACACCGCAAAAGCAGCAGAAACCAACCAGCTCTTTGCTGAAGAAAGAAAACAAAAACATTCAAGTATTCCAGAATCTCGTTCGCTTGAAAAGGCACAGTAAACCTGGGCCTATGATTAATACAATCATGAAAGAACTTTTAGGTTTATATCATTTCGAGTATGCACAACAACGTTAGTTTCGGGATATACTTCCTTCCAGTTTCAATATTCTTTACGGCATTGCGGTCTACAATTAGGGATTTCTCTTATACGGTGTAATGCCTGAGCCTTGGAAGGAAATTGCAATACATCATGTGATACAAGCGGAAACATGAAACTGTATATTTTAAACAAGGATGTGCTCGGTCATGGACAGACTAGTTGGGAGCCAAACAACCTACGCATGATAAGCTTGTGTCCAACGCTAACTCTAGATCTAACTCAAAGTACCTGACAGGAAAAATGTCCATTTTACATATTCGTACTCCAAAAATTAGACTTTATGCGTCCATAAACACCAAAGATCTTTGTAATTTGACATGGAAATGTCATTGGAGTTGACTTAAAACATCAGGAAATTTGCATTAATTGAAGCTTACGAAATAACAAGTCAATTGTGAAAGGGTCACAAATACCTGGACCCAAAATCCTTTAAATGATCTCAATAACCAGTCACTGGTATTAGTACGCTTTAGATTTTTATTCCAAGAAAGCCAATATATGTCATCAAACGGCAAGTGTTTTCCCCTAAATTGCAAAGAAAGCAAGTGCTCACCAAAAAATCCTAGACTACAAACTGAGGAAAAGCTTTCAGCATTTGAGTGAAATTATCATAAAAGAACGAATGATTTAATTCAAGGAATGCTTATTAATGGTGTTAAACACGACCCCCAGCACGCACCGCCTGATCTAGCTCTCGCTATGAAATAACTGATAATGTTTAAACAGTGTTGTAGTCGAGTACTTTTCCGCGTACCAAGTACTGCCGGGTACTTTGACTGCCGAGCACAAAGATAGGTCGAGTACTTTGCCAGCCGAGTACAAGTACTGGTTTCCGAGTACAAGTACTTGCACTTCCGAGTACGAGTACTTCTAATTCCGAGTACGAGTACAAGTACTTCTAATTCAAAAGTAGTTTTATCTTAATTTAGAGACTCTAAGACCTGCCACTGAGTAAAAGAAACATCGAATGCAGATGACATGGCTACAAGAACAAGTGATCTGGCTAGCAATGTCACGGTCACTACGCATGCGCTGCAGCAGTTGACACAACGTTCACGGCGCGGCGAAGTCTATTTTCTAAGTCTACTTTGATGCTCGAGTACAAGTTTTGGATGTCGAGTTCCCAGTATTTTGTAGCCCGAGTAAAAGAACTGTAGTTTGAGTACGAGTAGTTGGACGTCCGAGTACAAGTACGAGTACTCTGAAAACGGTACTCGAGTAGTACTCGAGTACGAGTCCCGAGTACGAGAACTACAACACAGTGTTTAAACAGGTACAAGGTTGCGAAACGTCAGTGTAACTGCACACAACACGATATTACAAACTGATTTTCCACACATAATACACCGTTGAAGACAAATGCTTTCTTGTCAGAATTAACAATGAAAGTTTGACTGACCTGGTCTTTGTTCTCTGATGTTTGTTGTACCCCACGAGTGAATCAGAAGTCCTTTTTTTAGCTGAAGCCATTCTGTCCAGCTTCTTTTATTCGATTCCGGCTTGTGGCAGCAGGCTTTACTTGCTAATGGCCGATGACACATTCGCCTGACTACCGTGCACGTGACGTACAACACCAGCGCCCACAGATTTAGAGGGCGTCCTAAAATAGTCCACGTTCAACTTTCCTATTGCATGCAGCAGACATTTTTTAAGCTCTTAAAAATGTCTGCTGCATGCAATAGGAAAGTTCAACGTGGACTATTTTTAGACCATGCATACCACTGATCAATTTCCCCGGGTAACGCATGACCATTAATATCCGGGGTAGAATGGGCTCAGGGGCCGTCCATGAAGTACATACAAACGAAGGGGGGGGGGGTTAGTGCAGTTGCTTACACCATGCACAAAGCCAGTGCGTACCGTACGCAAACCAAAACTTTGTCTGTAATGAATCTTCATCATATCAATACCCTTTCTCATCCAAATAAATAACACATTCAGCTTTCAGAAATTCAAACACAGTAACCTTCACCGTCCAACCCACCATTTATCCTTCCACGCCAACGCCCATTATTAGCAAATCGTAACACAGTACAGTAGATGTACTGTGAATGATTCTAAATCAAGGTACCCTGAGAAGTCAAAAGATATGTGGAATGCGCATGCGTTGGGGGAGGGGTGAGCCACTGCGCACGTCATGCGTGCAGGGGAAGGGTGTCTGAAAAGTAGGCATTTTGACGGTGCATGCATATGGAGGGCCCCTAATGGTTTACAGTCTAAACTTCTCAATGTTGACCAGTCAATACGGTCAACGGGTTCTTATTTTCACTGTGGCCAAATGAAGGTAGTAACAGCGACAACCCAAACACACGCTCACCCACTATCAAAAAAAAAGCTACACAAAACGAAACAAATCACAAACTGAGGCTTTGTGCGAAAATAAGAAACGACAGAACCATATATCCTCGTTTTTGTTTCACATTGTAATGCATTATTGTTTTAGCAATCATACAATGCAGAATTTTTAGTCAACGCCAACTGTTTATAAAGAGAGTGCAGAATTTAGCGGGACAATTTCACAAGCACAGTTTGTGATGTCATAGGCCTAAGGGGATAACATTTTATAAACGGATTCGTTCACGTTAAGAAAACTATGTACCATAGAAATTTAAAAGCGACTTGTCAAAATCGAATTTACAAAATATAATTTGAGAGAGAACCCATGGCCTCAGGTATACACAAGCCGTAAGCCAATCTCACCACAAATCTGAACAAACAAGTTTTACTTGACATAACCCCAAGTATGACTTTACAACGGAGAATTGAAAACTTGACCATAACAAGCGATAACAAACAAGCAAAACGGTTTCTCTTTCAATAAGAATTGAAAAGGAAACAAAACGCATATCGCGTAATATTCGATTCATCTCTCCTCACATTTATGTACATTGCCAAATGATTTTTCAACTCGTGTTTTGTTTTTCATACACAAGTTCCTTATATTCTTAAATTACACCATTTTGGCCGACATCCTGACACTATCCAAATATTTCAATAATAATCCACCCTTTTGGAAGTGTTGAAACTACCGAGTTTTTGACCACCACTCAAGTCATATAAACATAAAAACAGTATATCACTATGAACTTTCAACACCGTGAAAATGCAGTTTTACCATTAAATCACCGTGAAATTTTTGTGAAGGCAATGCAAGCCCGTTTTTACGGTGGAAAGTTGATCAGCTTGGGAGCGGATTAGCTCATAGCAGTTTCACGGCCTTTTCACGTCAACATCTTAGCTTATGGGATGGTCCTATTGTTATTCATAACGGTACACCGGTCCAGCTTCCCACCGTGGAAGGTGTGAAAACAGTGGATTGACTGTCAAAGCGTAATAAAAGATTAGTGTGATAGACAACCAGGAATAGCGCAGCAGTTACCAACAAAAGGAGCGATTGAATACCCCTGTTTAGGTCTGGAGTGTAAACTCCTCGCTCATCACGAACTCAACGGACCGCACTGTAGCAAGATCCACTGTCGCGTTAGCCCTTGACACTCATGCCTCATGCGCGCTCAATCTTAACGATGCCCTGCTGGCACGGGGCCACTAAAAAATTCATTGAGCCACTGCATTCTCCAAAATCAATGGCCCAACCGGCAGTGGTCATTTGAGGAACACTGCCACATTTTCAAAACTTTCCTCACATTTAATGACTCGTGTTTTAAATCACCGGCGCAGCACTTTCAAGTTCACGGTATAATTCCACAGCCTGAACAGTTGTGATTGCCTGCTTAATGTACGAGGCTCATGTGCTACATGTAAACACGTAGCTAGCGCGCAGCGCGACTGTTCATTGCACGGTCGACAGTCGTGCCTACGGCTCATACTCTTGCAAATGACCTGAGTAGATGTTGGCTGGTATATTTTTCTAACAATGCCAGTTTACTTATATTCCTTCCCAGTTTATATATATTCCTTCGCATGGTGCTACCGCAAGCCTTTCCACCTATTGCTGTCTTTCTCACCTTGAATAGCCTGACATTTCATCCAATACCAGTTTAACGTCCTCTCCCACGGACACCAATGAAACCTTTAGGAGGTCGTGTCGTGTTGCACCTCAAGCCAATCAAGCAACATATATGTGGCCTCAAATTAAATTTGTGAACACAAAAAATACGTACATTTTATATATCCAACTAATCAAGTTCTGGGAAGTACACGTAACTTGTACTTCCTGCGACATCATTTTTCTATGTGCAGCCACGTAGAGTTTTGTGTGTGTGTACACTGAATTGCACAACGCTATTTTAATGCATGGACTGGTTGCCGCATTGCCATCACACCTTTTTGGCAATTGCACGGCGCAGGGGAACCAGCGGAAACCTTGCATCAAGCAATATTGTGAAAACCACAAAAGTTTCTTTCCACATGTTGTGAATGTAAAGCAGGTGTTTTGTGAAGATAGGATCCTAGGAAAGACAGGATTGATTTTTCCTTTTTTTAAGCTGTGAGAAGAGACGGATACACGTACGATGGCTCAAATTTGCCGGATGCAGCTGAAAAGTTGATAAGCACATTTTGCTTATGTAGAACCATGGAGGAAGGACACAAGCTTTTTTTCAGCCCTAAAATGTGACATCATTCATAAAATTCCACGAAACTTGGTGTTAGATGTCACAACACCCCCCCCTTGACCACATACCAGACGACATATGAATATTTCCAACTTTTGTGGGCAAAAGGCACATTGAGTGGTGAAGTTACCACACCGAATTATGGAATTGCCAAAAGACTGTGAAAGTGCATACAAAGTGGTGGAATAACAAAGCCGACAATGTAGCATCAGAGCGAGCGAGGATAGCAACGGCGTGTACATCATTGTCCAATCCAACAAGCGCAGTGTACATATGACATCGTGCATGGACAGGGTTTGCCCGTAACGTTTTGCTCACTTGCCAGCCGGACCAGCAGTGATGGCTTTTCACTAGTCCATAAGCAGAATTTTCACTAGTCCGCGTCTTCCCCCAAATTTCAACATTCTTTTTGGCACTAGTGTTTTCTGCTCCAACATCATGCATAACAGCGTGCACTCGGTGCTGACTGTTGTTTAATTGTCGATGAGTAATCATAAATGGCCATGGGAATTATGAATTTCCAAAATATTCATGAGTATAATTCTACTCAAGCAAATTAAAAATAAATCACAGATATGCCAGAAAATTGAAATAAATGTTTCTGTGAGGTGACATAATTTGTGGGGAGTCGTTTTGCTGAAGTCCCTACAATGTTCTCATTCAGCTACAGGCCATGATGTAGTGTATGAACAACCTGGCCGAGATTACATGTAGGCCCTACATTGCAAGGATGCGAACATTGTGATTGGGGTGTTCAGTGTACATTTACACCTGTCACCACCACAGTAAGAAGACAGGTAATGGTACTTTTTATAAGGGATTCAGATAATGGGTCCGTAAAGCATTTAAAGGATTAGCCCCACCGCAAATTTAATGAGGAAGGCCCCCTGGATGGGCTCACTGCATTTTCACGGTGTTTTCACTTGACCTCAAGGTGTCGGCAAGGGGTCACAACCGGAATTATTTTCACGGTGTTTTCACCATGTGAACTGCCATGAAGTTGCAGCGAAAAAACAATTTCACCGTAAAACTGCAAATTAACCGCAAATTAACTGCAAATTCATGGTCCTGAAATGCATATACGCTTGTACGATTGAGACTGCCGATTAAGGAAAATGTCTGATCTTCGAGGCTGTAATTAACTCCTGAGGTATATATGACGTCACAAGTGATTCTTCCAATTCAACCCAACTTTAGATATTTCGCCTTAATTTTATCAACGATATTCAAGGCGTGTAGCATGGGTCACAAATTGGGTACGAGGGTAAAACTGACGTACATATTCACGGTGTATTTCATCAAAAAATGCCCATTAAACAAGCCAAGGCCATTACAATTTCAACTATACCAGGCACTGGTGGGGATAGAGGTCAGCAAGAGATTTCGTTGGTGCCCAACGTAAAATTGTACCAACGAAATCTTCAGGCAAGATTTATTTATAATAAATATGCAATAAACGCTATTGGTAACTGGATTTAGTAGTGATAAATCCACCACGTATGCGCATGTAATTACGTCATGACATCAGTCAAGCTATGTCTATCTACTAAGCCCCATCCCAGTCATTAGCCGTTGTAGCGCCATGTTGATGTAGCCAGAAACATGAGCGAATTCAACCACGTGGCTAGTACACACGAGGCAGGCTCATGCGCGGTCTCCGGGAAATATCAGGCGACTGTTGACGTTTAGGAGTTGCTGGCAGTTCAGACTGTACGAAAGTAAAAGAAAAACAAAAAACAAACTTGCATAATTATATGAATTAAATTGCGACAAAAAGGTCTCAACGATTTGTCGAAATGAGCTGGGCCACAAGTTAGCAACCATAAAATGAACTCACTATTGCGTGATTACAAAGGTTAAAGAACAAAACAGCAACAACTCCGGCTACCATAATAAAAATACTACCAAACTGTGCCTTCACAACAGCAGTCAAAGTTGGTGATATAAAACTAACCCGCGATCTTGTTGACATAACAGAGTCAAGAATGCTGACCACACCACGTGGCTCTTCAGGATGAGCCACGGCATATGTACGGTCACTGTCATTTTCTGGAAGTAGCAAAATATTACAAAAAAATTACCAAGCGTATGCGTCTTGGAAATGTCAGGCAAAATGTCTGAAATCTACCTGTAACGTCTGGTTTATATGCTTAAATTCCATTGGCAAAGTGATTCTCGCTTCGCGTAATCTTGTGATGAGAACATAATTATCATAGGCTCCCAACGAAATGGCGGACCTTACAGCACTTCATGCTCATGCTCAGTGATAAACATTTGCTACCACCATCTACTGAAGTGTTAAAAAACAAAGATGGAAGACTTGCCGGTAGACTTACCAGTTGTTTTCTGCTTCTTCTTCTGAGACCGTGAGTAGCAAACGGCAACCACAGCAAAACAGGAGCAACAAATGCTACCAATTAACAATGGCAAGCCAATCACGTAGAACAAACCTAAGGTCAAACACGTAAGAAATTCATCTCTTAAGTAGAATACTACGGAAAATTTAAAAACAGGTTTACATTTTTGACAATTTCTGTGCTATTAATTAATTAACTATGTGGAGTCCTCGGTATGCCTTCAACCTCGGGTAAAAGGAGGGTTTCACTTTAAACAACTGCCAAGCTCCTCGATGAAAAACTTGTCTTGCTCCTGAGCAACCTTGTTTTATTTTCGTTGTGTTTTGATACGTACGTTTTCCATCTGTCACAAACAGGTCAATCAAAGCTTCAGCTCTGCCAATTGTGTTTTGTGCGATGCACTTATAAACACCCCTGTTGCCTGTATTGGTATGGTCCACCGGCAATTCACTTCTTGTTAGATTGCCCTGCCCTTGAGGGTTATCCCCAAGAACTGTTGTCTCACTGAGAATGTGGTTCTTCCGTGGGTCTATCCAACTTATGTTAGCTGGTGGATTAGCATCAGCTTCGCACCAGAGTGTTGTGCTCAGGGGTTGGCTAGTTTGTCCTGAAACGATGGATGGTGGATCTGATTGGACAAACAGAAAGCATCAAATGACGTAAGATCAACCGGCACATGCGCACACAGGTTCATCCACGCTTTATAGCCAGTGTCTGTTGCCGACTGTCTGATGTGCGCAGTTTTTGGCATGTGCACACTGCACAACTATCCTACCAACCTGTCTTAATTAATTGTTGGCAAAAGGGCGCCTCTTGTTAGAAAGCTCTGTATCGCCTGTCTGGTATACTCACGGATGAAGGCAATTAAACTTTAATATGAATGCTTTAGTTATCAAGACGCGAAAATTGTTCACGGTGGGGAGTTCGCCATAAGCAACAAAATTAAAGGACTTATGGATGAACCAATGCGTGGCTGGAATCCCAATAACAATATTTGTAGGGCACTACTTACACAACACGGTCAATACAGTCTTGGTTTGTAGTGCCTCAGTCAGTTCAGGATGTGGCGCCCTACATCTTAAAATGCGATTGTGGTACCTTCTACTTGCTGTGATATTCAAAATATTTGTTGATCCGATCGAAGATGGTTCCGATGCGACGCCATTTTGTATCCGTTTGGTGTCTATATACCATGTTATATTTGTCTGGTAATTGGCTTGGCATATCAATGTGCAGACAGTTCCCTCTAGGGGCGCGCTGCAGCCAGAGTTGCTGACGAAGAGTGATGGTTGTTCTGGCGGAAAAATGCGGATATTTTTTTAAAAAGGTCTTTTGGTGGGATTCTGCTGAATTCCTCAGACCGCAATATCCCATCATGTTGGCATATCTAAAAGCTGAGAAAAATTCACCTCCACTCAAGATGACGTAGTTTAAAATGGCAAGGTGATTTGAAAGACTCACCCAAGACTCTGAGCATCCACGCTTCTTTCCTTGTTCCCGCTCGGTAGATAATGTTGCATGAAAGGTTCAAGTTTGTTTGGGTCTTCAGGGGAGTAATCTGGAGAATACTGGACTCGATTCTGGCCCATGAAGGGCCAGACTCTCTCGACGGATACAACTTGTACGACACTTCACTCGATGTAATAATAACGCCATTCACGTACCAACCAAACCAAGGGTTGTCATTCTTGGACTGTTGACAGGTAAAGTTGACAGGTACACCTGACCAAACTGTTTTTTCTTCAGGATCTGATGAAGCTGGAACAAAAAAAAGCTTGGTCAAATCGAAGGACAATATAAGACTTGTGACGACGAAAAAGAAGCGTTCAAAACATAACAAAAACTACAAACACGAGTCTCACCTCAGCAAAAAAAATCCTTGGTAAAACGCCACGATTTTGAATTGACATAAGTAACTGACGGTTTGCATATTAATGTGGAATACAAAGTAACAAAGAAACAGAACACAGTAGAAGATTTCGGCCTTTTGCAGCGAACAATTAGCAGTCAGCATCATGAGACTGTCGATTTGATTAACTTGAAACTTCTATTCGATACCCACCTACGACACAAAGCTAAAAAATGCATTCTTTAAGAAAAATTCGCTCGAAAACGTATCAGATTTTGTTTAACTCTCACTGGATTTTATCTGGAACTTCAATGTACTGCCGTTGAATGGATCAATGATAGTAGCAGCAATATTAGCTGAGTCATCTGGAATGTGCTACTTTAGGATTACCAAATATACCTTGTAGCATAACTTTTATGGGGGAGGGGGCTTTCTGCCAGTAAATTGTTAACATTCTACAGTATAATGCCCTCTTTTCATAAAAAATAACGCCTACTCAACTGCACTCTGCGAAAGTGAAATATCATCTTGTGGCAATATCATACCCAACACATTTACCGAGTATTTTGACAGTACAGACCTCTACCTAAAAAGAAAACGGAGATATCTACATTTTTGCTTTACAGTTCTTCGCATGAGAACAAAAACAAGAACACGAATAATTGAAACTTTACTCGATAAGTACATGTATTAAAACAACACATTACATTGCAACAAAATTGTCTAGGCCTATGCCAGCACGGATGGACTGTACTCTGGTGGTGTTTTCAATTTTGTGGCAGCTAAATAATTCTTGTAAATATAGGCCTGTCAGAGGCGAGTTGCAGTGCTCCTAATTTCAATACTCCCGCCATTTCTAGACTACCCTGAGCTTAAATCCCTGCATGTGGCTGGATCGGTTTGCTTCGAATTCAAGGAGGGAGGTACTATACTCCAAATAAATAGTTGGAATGCGGTGCAAACATACACAACTTACCCAAATAACCAAACAGATGGGCTTTGAACGAAATTAAATTTCGTCTTTTAAAAAGGTTTTCAACATATTTCTACAAATATCAAGCAGTGTCACATGCACGCCAGGCCTGCCAATGAATCAATTTTTTCATCGTTAAACTTGGAATTATACATTTTACGGAAAATGAAAACACAGAGAAACACTCCAGCCTTATAGGAGTAAAAAAAGCAAATTGTTTGGCAATTCAGACACTTGAGGGAACCGAAGCTTGATAATCAGTCGCAATAAACGATGGACAGTCAAAGGTCTATAAATGTGGGCCTACATGCAATACTCAAAGAAAAACCAACAAAACAAACAATTTCTACCATACATCAAATGGTTATGTAACTGTTCTTTCTGTTAAATGTGCCGAAAATTCAACTTACCTGTGGAATTCCTCCACAAGCACAGAAGCAACAACAGTATCGAAAATATCTTCATCTTATCAGACAGCAAAGCTAACGGTAATAATCCAAATCGCTCGCAATGTCGGTAATTAGCTTGGAGCATCACGGAAGCTACCTTTATTTTGACAACGCAGCTATATTCAATTACATTCTCTGCCGGGGAAAGTGAAACCAACAGCTCAAACAACGGAACTCCTATTCAAAATAAAACAAACGAGCGAAAGGGAAATTCAGTGCATTGTCAATCAGTGCATTGCCATTTTTCCCTTTGGAATTTCAAACTTTGGAAACCGAAATGCAACAATCCTCATATCTATAGAGGTCAGGGGTGAACAAAATCGGGATTCGATGCAGGTATAGGGAGAGATTGCTCCATAACATTCCGTGGAATGGGCAAGGATAGAAGCACGTATCCACCCTGAGCTGAAGTGCACCCCCAATCGGCGAAAGAAAGGTGGTTACAAGCGGGTTCCTGCACGCGTTTTGCGTGTACGCAAAGATCACACATGCCGGAATAAATTAGCTACGCGTACTCCGCGTCAAGCGCGCATATGCATGTACTTGCGCGCCTCATAGTGCGCATATGCGATATAAAAAACGCGTCCTCTTTTGTTCCGCTTGGAGCGAATACGCAATAAGTAAACAGGTCGAACATAAAAACCTTGGGTGTAGGCAGAAATATAGTAACTTAGAAACAAGCATTCTCGAATGACATTCCAGTACTACATAACCGGTGCTTAGCAACAAAACAATAAGGTCTGTAGAAAAATGCAATGAAGATTAAATGTAGTAATTTACAAACACAGCATGGTTTGAGGGGAAGAAGTGGGAATTACTAGTCCCGAGGTGTAGGCCACCTCCCGACGCCAAACGGAGGGAGGAAGTCAAACTGACCTACACCGAGGAACCAGTAATTCCCACTATTTTCCCGAAACAAACCATGCTGTATTTGTTTTACTACACTTTATAAATATTCAAACAGAAATCTCACGTTACTTGTACTCGCAGACGCCATTGTTTCTCAGCTGCTAAATGTCTATGTAATGATAGTGGAGTGCAGATGCGCATAGAAACAGGGCTTCACACTATGAATTTCAGCACCATGAATTTGCAGTTTCACTGTGAAATTGTTTTTTTACTGCAACTTCATGGCAGTTCACATGGTGAAAACACCGTGAAAATAATCCCGGTTGTGACCACTTGCCGACACCTCGAGGTCAAGTGAAAACACCGTGAAAATGCAGTGAGCCCATCCAGGGGGCCTTCCTCGTTAAATTTGCGGTGGGGCTAATCCTTTAAATGCTTTACGGACCCATTATATGAATCCCTCATAAAAAGTGTCATTACCTGTCTTCTCACTGTGGTGATGACAGGTGTAAATGTACACTGAACACCCCAATCACAATGTTCGCATCCTTGCAATGTAGGGCCTACATGTAATCTCGGCCAGGTTGTTCATACACTACATCATGGCCTGTAGCTGAATGAGAACATTGTAGGGACTTCAGCAAAACGACTCCCCACGAATTATGTCACCTCACAGAAACATTTATTTCCATTTTCTGGCACATCTGTGATTTATATTTAATTTGCTTGAGTAGAGTTATACTCATGAATATTTTGGAAATTCATAATTCCCATGGCCATTTATGATTACTCATCGACAATTAAACAACAGTCAGCACCGAGTGCACACTGTTATGCATGATGTTGGAGCAGACAACACTAGTGCCAAAAAGAATGTTGAAATTTGGGGGAAGACGCGGACTAGTGAAAATTCTGCTTAAGGACTAGTAAAAAAGCCATCACTGCTGGTCCGGCTGGCAAGTGAGCAAAACGTTACGGGCAAACCCTGTCCATGCACGATGTCATATGTACACTGCGCTTGCTGGATTGGACAATGATGTACACGCCGTTGCTATCCTCGCTCGCTCTGATGCTACATTGTCGGCTTTGTTATTCCACCACTTTGTATACAGTTTCACTGTCTTTTGGCAATTCCATAATTCGGTGTGGTAACTTCACCACTCAATGTGCCTTTTGCCCACAAAAGTTAGAAATATTCATATGTCGTCTGGTATGTGGTCGGGGGGTGTTATGACATCTAACACCAAGTTTCGTGGAATTTTATGAATCATGTCACATTTTAGGGCTGAAAAAAAAATTTGTGTCCTTCCTCCATGGTTCTACATAAGCAAAATGTGCTTATCAACTTTTCAGCTGCATCCGGCAAATTTGAGTCATCGTACGTGTATCCATCTCTTCTCACAGCTTAAAAAAGGAAAAATCAATCCTGTCTTTCCTAGGAAAGACAGGATCCTATCTTCACAAAACACCTGCTTTATATTCACAACATGTGGAAAGAAACTTTTGTGGTTTTCACAATATTGCTTGATGCAAGGTTTCCGCTGGTTCCCCTGCGCCGTGCAACTGCCAAAAAGGTGTGATGGCAACGCGGCAACCAGTCCATGCATTAAAATAGCGTTGTGCAATTCAGTGTACACACACACAAAACTCTACGTGGCTGCACATAGAAAAATGATGTCGCAGGAAGTACAAGTTACGTGTACTTCCCAGAACTTGATTAGTTGGATATATAAAATGTACGTATTTTTTGTGTTCACACAAATTTAATTTGAGGTTTCATATATGTTCCTTGATCGGCCTGAGGTGCAACACGACACGACCTCCTAAAGAAGGAGGTACCGAAGGGTGACGTCACTGTGTGCCAGAAAGTGCAGTGCAAACGAATGGAGTACGCACGCGTAATGGTTCACGCGCTGGTTCACGCGCTAATGCCTTTTACACACTAATTGTGCGCGTGACGCATTCACTTCTGTACTCTATTGTTATAAGGATACAGATAGACTGGTTCCTCAAAGATTACATGACACGGACTAAATATTTACGCGGCGGGTTCCAGAGGGATTTTTTTATGCTACCAGAAAAACTACCGAACGGCAGCGAGGTGCATACTCACCGCTATGACGTCACCTGGTCGCGTATCATTTCTACTTTCCAGACGAGAGGTGGAATCGGCCAATGACACGCTCCGATTTGCTCGCGAATATTTATGAGGTGTAGCAATGATGTTCACAACCATCATGGTTCTCCTAGCAATGTAGTGAACACTTTAGAGAGTGTGTCTTCATTTAAATGCAGCTGTAAGCAACGTTATGAAGGGAAATAAACGTATTGTGCACTGCATTATACAAAGGATCAGTTTTAATGTTTCGGCACACCTTCGAAATGACACACACGGCCACCAATCCGGAGGCAAGATTTGCTACTCACATTTTAAAAGAGTATGTACACTGTTCACATCAAATATACTTTCTGCCCGTGAAGATTCAGTAAGGTTTCTTTGTGGATAATTATATTTTCCTCAGGCTAATATATGTAATTATCTAATTTATTTCGATCTTAATTCATAATCTAATATTATGCAATGATGTCTACTCTAGTAAACAGCAAGTCGTGGGTTCGAGTCTCACCCGAGGAAGCTTGTGATGTTTGGCAATCCTCGACCCCGCATTGAAAATAAAGGGGACGTTTACGGTTTCAAAGTAAAACCTGGTACAAATTTCACACTTTATTTTTTACTACAATTTCAACAGAGTCACTGGATCAATGACGAACTTTAAATAAATAATACATTAAAGTTTTCTAACGTAACACATAATAGTTACGATTACAACAGTTATGTTATATTTCAAACTTCCCTATTGAATTTTCAGCACATTTATAGGCTTAGCGAGGGTGGATTCAGGGGGAGGGTTCAAACCTGGAGCATCAAATCCAATCGTGCAGTCCGAAACCTAAGTCAGAATTTAAATGCAATGGAGCCAATTTTAAATTCATTGTCGTGCCGGTGGGGGGGGCGTCCGGTTCGCCCCCTCTAAATTCGCTTCTGCATAATATCGTGTCTTTTGCCAACAGTTTCAAGTTTAACAGATGCTTATTGATAAACTTGAAAACTGTTCTCATTTAAAGTACTACATATTACTTAAACCAGACTCCATGGGATCCTAGTTACATAGTTTTAAGTTTTACATCTTTCCTGAAGGATGTTCACCAACAAAGAATCAATGTCATACGGTAAATGTCAAACTTTCTAGTTCATAATCAACACGGTATCATGGTATCACGGTTTCCCATTCGGATCCTTGCCGTAAGATTTTGTCAGACTTGATAGTTGCGTACACTTCAAATCTTTTCAAATGTAGCCAATGCCGAGAGGTTTTTTTTAATTAATTTGGATAAATTACACTTAAAGAGCCTATTCACAACGAGAGCGCATGTAGCGTCTTTATTACTACGATGATCACTGCAGAAATCCGACTTTGTTATTCCTGGGCAGATAATTATTCTGCCCAATTTTTTCGAAACGCAATTACGCAACACTACAGTCGTAAAATTCCTCAATTATTGCTCAACGGTCGTGATGGAAGGTAAAACCAGCTTCAGTGGTCAGTATCAAGATGAACAACCTTGTTGGTGGTTTGTCCAAAGACTCAGACACTAATTTTCCTGCGGGCGACAGGTTTGAGTCAAGGGGTTTGCGTAGACGTACTTATCAGCCTGAAATTGAGACATGTCCAACATTTCCTGCAGGAAACATAAGTGATTTAATGAATTGTGATGAAACCTCGGACGATTTTCATTCTCTGCATTTAGTTTTAAAAGAGAGAGCGACAGGCCTAAATGACGTGGCAAGAGTCGTGAACAAAAAGACAAGAATTTCAAGGTATAGAAATGGACGTAGGGCTGCCATTTGTGGAAACACCACAGCTTAATATGGCAATTCTTTCGTTTTGGTGCGTTTTTAGTCTTTTTACCTTTTTCTCGTTTTGTGATTGTCATCATTGATGTTTTTTTATTTCACATGTTGTTGTATTCTCTCTTTTTAGTTTCATTCCAACGAGGTATTCCTTTCGTTAAAATTTGTATCTCTTATTTAAACGAATGTTTGTTTAGAATTTGAAACTAAAATTTTAATCGTAACTGAGAATGTTTTCGGCCTGTTGGCTGCTTTTACTTCAAAAATATTTTTAAAAAGTGTAATTTAGACAAAATCCGAGTTGTCATTTTAAGCCAAGAGATACGAAAGAATTCTTGGCTTACACGTTGCAGTTATTGTTTAAATGGTGAAATCCTAAAAAAGTGGCATCGTCCTTCACTCGCAAATGCCTTTTTATGTCGTTATGCAACACTACGGAACAAACAGGGTTTGAAAAACAAAACAGGGTCAAGAGTTTCGCATTCTCACCGAGTCACTGTCCAACAGACACCCCAGTCTTTGATGTAGGTCAGTGAAGTCTGGTCTCATTTCGGGCTCAATATTCCAACACGATGACATCAAATTATATCTGCCAAAGAACAATAAAATCTTTCTCGAAAGACATTGCTTTATACAGACAAACGTTTTAAAAAGGTTTCTGAAATGTACTTACACTAAACACCCTAACATTACTCACACTTCTTTTCCACAATGTAAAGGTCTTGGAAGTCGAAACCCACCGAGAAGATAGACAACCATGGTTTCTAAAGACATGTCCGTGTAGGGTTGAGCACCTGTCAGTGAAAGGTAGGCGAATGTCAGAATGATCACATCGTTCAAAGATTACCAACTTGAAGCTACACCAAGAGAGCATCATATTGGCAACAGCCAGCGATGAAACTGGTTGGGTTTGTGTTTGGAGGGGCAGGGTAAGCTAGAGGGAATAGGTTTATTAATCGGTGACTGGATGGACGAATTGACGGTTAGTCCTTTGCCCAATTTGACTTACCCAGCGTGACCAGTTCCCACAGAAGAACACCAAATGACCACACGTCACTCTTTGTTGTGTAAGTGTTGTGGCAAAGACACTCAAGAGCCATCCAGCGAAAAGGAACAGTATTCTGAAAACATAAATTGATTTCAAGGTACGTCAACAAATCTGTGAATCCAAATAAATTCATGATAGGAGACCCATAAAAGGCCATAATTTCTTGATGTCCTGTGTCGGTTTAATCTTACCCAGCGTGACAAATTAATAAATTCACTAGAAAGAAAAAGACTTTAATTTAAATAGTCGACTTTAGAAATATTTCCACTAAAATAAGACACTTGGACACCAACAAGTCAATATTAAATCTCAGCTCCAGTGAATAATTGCATTACATCGGATGTCTGTTTGTACTGCCCAGTTCTTGTGACGTCACGTGCCAAGCCAAAGTCACACAGTTTGCAGGTTAGCCCTTCACCAAGAAGGACATTTCGAGTAGCAAGGTCACGATGTACCAACTGTGAAGAGAAAGAGACTTGTTCTAAAGCAAAGGTTGTTCAATGAACACTGGAATATTCAAACTGTTCACCTCGCAATGATAGCTCATACTGCAGTAAAAGTTTGCATTACTTGCAACTTTCTGTTTTTGATATTGTAAATAATCTAATTCTGGGACAGTTGTCAAAAAACGGACTTGCAGAATACTTGTTTGCCATATCGTTTGTTCCATCCTTTTTCTCAATATCAAAATTAAGTTACTTAGTTACAGCACGGTTCATTTTGATACTTGCGTTCATGGAAGACAAGTACTCCATTCCACTAGCGATTTGGAAAGCGAACATAAGTATTCGAATGGGGTTCACGGCTTCCTTCATTAATCCAGTGGTAAGCTTTGCTTCGGTCCAGGCCACTCGTTTCTTCGTGATGTAGGCCTCCAGTGTGCCATTAGGAACGTACTCCATGATCAAGTAGAAAGGCTCTGCAACCAAATCAAAAACTCACCTCTGCCGATGTGTGTCCTTAAAGTTCGTTTTGTTAACAAAACACTTTTATATGGTTTGGATGACTAACGCAAAAGGGTATAAAGCTGGTAATATCTCTAACGAACCTTACCTTCGTCTGTGCAACTTCCAAGAAATGATACAACATTGGGATGTTTCTTGAGAGCTTTGGAAATAGTGAGCTCGTGCTTTAACTCGGTCCCTGTGAAACCTGTAGGAGTGGAGAAATATTCCTTTAGAGAGTTTTCTTGATTTACCAACATATCAAGGAAATATAATGCCAAGGTTTCTTATAAAACAAAAGAACAGGGACCTAAACTTTATTGTCATACATGTACAGCATCTGTCTTAGATACAGTCTGTTCATTGGCCCAGAACGATCACATGACAAGACGATATGTCTGCATAATATAACACTCATCGTGAGACATCTCATTCTACCGATTCCACGTGCACGCGCACGAGATAAAAGAGCTTTTGAAGTCAACTTTGAGAGGTACCCACGACACGTTTTGCGCGTAGGTTACCATGGAATGAGGGCAATGGGCAAGTTCAAATAATGACTATGGTTAACTAAAGTTTGACTAACACCGTCCAACCGATGGATGGTTTGGACTATCTAAGCAACCATTTGGGACCACGCCCCAGGGTATAATTATACAGTTTGACACTAGGCCTAATGTTTTCTGAACCTCTGAGATTCAAAGCTCGTTTCTTTGGATAAATTCCGGAGCCTCAACATAATGCAGACAGAGGTATGGCAATACAATTGTTGACTGCTGTGATGTGGGATGTGACGTTTTCAACACCTGAGATCACCTAAAGAGCCCCCTTGGCTTTGGGTGCTCAAAACGTCCTACCCCAAATCATAGCAGTCAACGACTATTGAGTTATCAGTGCGAAAAATTATACATTTTGGTATTAATTTGTTTTAATTTTTCAATATTTCGAGGTAAGGCTTACAAACGACAAAAAATCTCAAGTTAGTCAGTTCAATAAATCATTGCGGTCTCACTGCGTTTGATACCGGAATACAGTAACTTCTTTGTATTTAGAATTAAAAGAAGCCCACCTTTGCAAATTTTGACAGCGACTGTGGTGATTTCTCCGCTCAGAATACCGTCTGCTTTAGCTTTCAGTACCTGTCCGTAGAAACCATTACCGATCACCTCTTCCAGATGAACTCTTTCTCTTGGAAACTCGAAATCAGACGAGATGGCTGGGACAGAAGTCTCTGGACACTGAACTGAAAAATCCTCTTGTTGCACTGTCTAATGAGAAGCAAAAAAAAAATCACAACTGAGAGGATCGGAATGCAAACTTAAAAACACTTCCTGATCAGCTCAAAGGTATTTGGGAAATGAACATTCAATAATAGAATAAGTCCCTGAATGATATTCAAGAAGCTCGTAGGCCTCTAGGAAACCTAGCTTTGGGTACGATGACATGCGATTGTTTGGTTGACCTGTTTTTGGAGCCTGACCATCGGATGGGTTTCCTCTCTTATTCCGCTATTCATCTCGTCATGTACTCCTCTGTACCTTGCCCTCCATTTCACAGCTGCTAGAGAGCTTAGGCAGATAAGGAGCAAGAAACTGGCGACAGACCCGGCGGATATTGCTGGAAGTTTCCAAGAGGAATCCATGTCTAATATCCAAACAAAAGAAAAATTTCTTCGAGACATAATATATTCAATCTTTATTCGGGGATTGTGGGATCGGACACCATTTATTTCTAGCCTACTTGGTATCGTGATAAATTCTACAGTTCGAAAGACGAGTGTAAAATTAAACCCTGAAAGACAAGAGAAATGACAGATTACCTCGTGAGGGCTGAACAAGTATCTGAAGAACCTCCTCCCTAAATATTGTGGCATTATCGGGATACCAAACACGACACACAACGTCGATGGCATTTACACCTGGTGGCACTTTGATTGAGAGTGTGTTTTCTAAGTCCCAGCTACGAGTTGTGTTATCCTGGAAGATCGACGATACATTATCACGATAAAAAACTGATTGGAGATCTTCACCACCGTGACCTATGACCTCCCAGGTGAGCAGACTAGCTGGGTTGGAACCCACAGCGATGCACTGTAGTTCTAGGTGTTCTCCCACCGAGGCATTTCTTGTGCAGTTCCTGCAGGCGTCACAAGTTTTCAAAGACTTCACACAAATTGCAGTGTTCTGAGGTCCATCTGAAAGTGAGAATTTTGAATTATTCTTAAGAATACAACTATAACTTCTCACAAAATAGTAAAGACTGTTTCTTCCTAGATACAGTTTTAAAGTTAGGAGTCGGTAGCTCTATTTAACTAGAACAAAGACTTTTTCAAGTGAAAGCACGCCTACCAATCTCATATTTAAGCACTTGGCACGACTGCTGCCACTGCACTATTTTCACAAAATATGAAGGTATAACGTGTTAAATACATGTAGTTCCAGTATATCAGTAAGCTTTGCAACACAGTTAGGATTGTTGCAGCTTTGTTTTACTCTTCAAGACATGGTAAAACTTACATTTTGCTTCAACTGAAGCTACAGCTCTGCCGATCATGTTGTACGCTATGCACTTATAAACACCCCGACTGCCCGCCTTGGTAAAGTTTACCGTCAAATCACTTCTTGTCAGGTTGCCCTGCCCTTGGGTGCTATCATCCTTATGAACTGTAACTGTCTCACTGAAAATGTGTTTGTTCTGTGGGTCTATCCAGTATATGATGCTAGCTGGTGGATTAGCATCAACTTCGCACCAGAGTGTCGTGCTCAGGGGTTGACTAGTTTGTCCTGAAACGATGGATGGTGGATCTGATTGGACAAAGAGAAAGCATCGAATGACGTTTTATAGCCAGTGTCTGTTGCCGACTGTCTGATGTGCGCAGTTTTTGGCATGTGCACAACTATCCTACCAACCTGCCTTTATTAACTGTTGGCAAAAGGGCGCCTCTTGTTATTAGAAAGCTCTGTATCTGGTATACTCACGGATTAAGGCAATTAAACTTTAATATGAATGCTTTAGTTATCAAGACGCGAAAATTGTTCACGGTGGGGAGTTTGCCATAAGCAACAAAATTAAAGGACTTATGGATGAACCAATGCGTGGCTGGAATCCCAATAACAATATTTGTAGGGCACTACTTACACAACACGGTCAATACAGTCTTGGTTTGAAGTGCTTCAGTCAGTTCAGGATGTGGCGCCCTACATCTTAAAATGCGATTGTGGTACCTTCTACTTGCTGTGATATTCAAAATATTTGTTGATCCGATCGAAGGTTCCGATGCGACACCATTTTGTATCCGTTTGGTGTCTACATACCATGTTATATTTGTCTGGTAATTGGCTTGGCATATCAATGTGCAGACAGTGCCCTCTATGGGCGCGGTGCAGCCAGAGTTGGTGATGAAGAGTGATGGTTGTTCTGGGGGAAAAATGCCGAATTATTTTATTTTTTTTTTAGAAAAGGTCTTTTGGTGGGGTTCTGCTGAATTCCTCAGACCGCAATATCCCATCATGTTGGCATATCTAAAAGCTGAGAAAAATTCACCTCCACTCAAGATGACGTAGTTTAAAATGGCAAGGTGATTTGAAAGACTCACCCAAGACTCTGAGCATCCACGCTTCTTTCCTTGTTCCCGTTGTGGAGATAATGTTGCATGAAAGGTTCAAGTTTGTTTGGGTCTTCAGGGGAGTAATCTGGAGAAAACTGGACTCGATTCTGGCCCATGGAGGGCCAGACTCTCTCGACGGATACAATTTGTACGACACTTCACTCGATGTAATAATAATCGCCATTCACGTACCAAGCAAACCAAGGGTTGTCATTCTTGGACTGTTGACAGGTAAAGTTGACTGGTACACCTGACCAAACTGTTTCTTCTTTAGGATCTGATAAAGCTGGGAAAAAAAAGCTTGGTCAAATCGAAGGACAATATAAGACTTGTGACGACGAAAAAGAAGCGTTCAAAACATAACAAAAACTACAAACATGAGTCTTTCACCACATCCCCCCCAAAAAAACCCTGGTAAAATGCCATGATTGTGAATTGACACAAGCAACTGACGGTTTGCATGTAAGTGGAATACAACGTAAGAAAGAAACAGAAGAGAAAAGTGCTTTTTGTAGCAGCAAAAACCTGTCTTTTAGCATTCAACATCACCAGACCATCGGTTTCATTAACTTGGAAACGTTTTCTAATAGAAAACTGACAAAGCTAAGGAAAAAATCGATCAAAACCTGTCAGATTTTGTTCAACTCTAACTGCATTAATTTTATCTGGGATTTCAATTTACTGCAGTTGAATGAATCAAAGATGGTTGCATCGATTTATGATCCATATTCTCTGGGTCATCTGAAACGTGCTTCAATACAGGTAGCCACTTTAGGATAGCCAAGTATACTTTTAGCATAATCTTATGGGGGGGGCTATATGCCATTAAATTTTTAATGTATAGTTTAGTGCCCTCTTTTCATATGAAAAGATGAACGGAAAGAAGCACCGCTCAACTGCACTTTTCGAAAGTGAAATGTCATCTTGTGGCAATATCAGCTTCCCTATTTACTCATTGTTGATAGACCTAATATGAAAACAAGTGCATAGAGGGGATAGACATTCTAGGATGCAGTTGTTCGCACGAAAACAAAAAACAACAAACGGTGCATGTGCAAGCTTTACTAGATGCATAATAAAAAAAGATATAAGCCAGGCTGTTGTCAATGCAGCAGAACATTTGCGGCAACTAAATATTTGTTGTAAATTGACCTCTCAGAGGCGAGTTGCAGGGCTCTTATTTTTTTACTGACTCAATGCTCCCGCCATTTCTGGACTATCCCGAGCGTTAGCATAAAGTCCATGCCTGCGTCTAGATCAAGTTATTTGCTTCGAATTCGAGGAGGCGGTTTATCAGGATATTTTATCCAAATTCAAACTGAGTGTCCTGAACTTTTGTGTCACTTTAAAATCCTCACTGTCTCATAGCACAATGAAAGAAAACACATAAAAATTCTTCAACTAAGTTTCAAGCATTCTTATTTACACTTATTTCTCTCACTTCCTATGGTGTCATAAAAAGAACTGTAGCCACATATTTACGGTACATGAACTTCAAGACTTACTTCAAACGATTTAAAGACATATTTAATTAAAAATTACACATCAGATAATCAACTATGGTTAATGTTGTTAAATGGATACATGCACTGGCGTCTCGATCTGCCAAGGCAGAGAGATCTATTGGATAACTGCACTCCTAGTCTTCCTGCTAGACCTGTGCCCCCGGCTCAGTCTTTGGCTCGAGCTGCGTCGCTGAGACTTGACACTGTGCTCATCAGACTAGGGCAGTGGTACAGCGGGTTGGGGTGTTTTGTAACCCATCGGTAAAACCATGATTGCGACGGATGACTGAATAAATTTTACCCTGTGGTGTGTGCTGGTAAAGCCGTCAAAACTGGCTTAAAACAACAGCTACCAGTTAGCAGAAACGTTAGCTTGACTATCCATCGCTGCCAAAAGCTGCTCTTGGCCTGCTTTAGCTTTGGCACTATACCTGGTGGCTCTTGGGTTGTAGATGTGCGATCATCGGAAGCAGCACACCAACTTCACGTCTCAAGATTCAAATATCAACTGACCGAATTCACTTTTTGACTTTCCACCCACACCTCACTTGATCTATCATCCATCTGGCAAACATACCAGTTGTCAACACAAGTCCCTAGTTACTATTATCAATCCAATCCGTTTCACTGTAATTCAAACGCAGTCCTCACCTGCTAAATGTATTTCCAAAGTAATCACAACCATGGTTTTCCGTATGCTATGACAATCAACCAATTGCTGCATGCTACTACACCAACTACTGTGAATAATTACGACTACAAGCAGTATGTCACACTGCACAAAAGGGCTGCTGGGATGCCTGCGTACAATACTAATTGGGCTATTGTGTCTACCTTGAGTAGAGATGCAACTGCAGTTTCCAACTTTACAGACTTTTCCATTATGAAATAGAGGTGTCCAGAAACATCTTACACGGTTAATCAAAAGAAATAGTTTGGAATGTGGTGTTAAAGTATACTGACATACAGATTACCCACAGTTAAATATAGATTTAAATTACATTAGATTTTAATTTATGTTTTAAACGAAATTAATCGTAGTCGTTAAAGCAAAAGGTTTACAACACACTTGTATCTAGCTGTGTTACTTGTAGGGTGTAGGTCTGCCCCACGAAGCAATTAATTCTACATTAAAATTGGAATTATACATTTTAGGGAAAATTCAAACACATACCTACAAACATACCACCCTTATAAATAAATAAGCAAACAAAGCAAATTGTTTGCCTACTAAAACACTTGAGGGAACCAAGGATTGGCAATCAGTGGCAATAAACAATGGACAATCAAAGGTCTATAACCTGTACATATGCAAAACTCAAAAAAATGAAAACAAAACTAACAATTTCTACCATACATCAACTGGCTATGTAACTGTTCTTTCTGTTAAATGTGCCAAAATACAACTTACCTATGGAATTCCTCCACAAGCACAGAAGCAACAACAGTATCGAAAATATCTTCATCTTATCAGACAGCAAAGCTAACGGTAATAATCCAAATCGCTCGCAATGTCGGTAATTAGCTTGGAGCATCAAGGAACCCACCTTATTTTAACTCGGCATGTATTCAAATGCGTTTTCTGCTGCTAAGGAAAGTGAAAGCAGCGACCAAAACAATGCTATTCCTATGTAAACGAACGCAAACCAGCAAAGAGGAAATTCCTCGTAACGTAAAAAGGCCCTACACTAAGAAAAAATGCTGTCACAGTAATGACATTTAATTATATCAAGCAAAACTGCTATAATCATCATCATGGTGACGCCAGAGCGCCAGTAGCGCAAGGGCGTTGCTCAGTGGTTAACATAATAAATTAATTGTCTGTTTCCATTGTTCGGCGTTCAGAGTGGCTTGTTGTTACTGATTGAGGCTGATTCCAACAATCCTCATATCACCAGAAAGTTGTTGGTAGGTTCGCATGAGTGCGCCGCCTCTATGGTATGATTCTGTTGGTTGTTTCTGTCCAGGAGCAATGAGAGTGGCATCATGCCTAATTGCGTGGCCTATCAGTTGAAGGCGCTGTTTGCGAAGCGTTGTTGATGCTGGTTTGACTTTACATCTACGATACAGTTCAGCGTTGGTGATGCTTTCGGGGTATCTGATATTCAGTGCGTAGCGTTACAAGGCTCAGTGTGATGCGTCGATTGTTTTCTCGAGCGTTTCTGCCAACTGCTATAATGATGACATCTAAATGTACAATGTACTCAGAAATCTCTTTTTTCGACTTCAGTATTTTTTTTCGCAATAAACACCAAAAGTAGTCAATCTTATTGTGTATGATCACAATCACTAACAACTAATAACAGCTACTCACTACACAGCTATAACATTCAGAAATCCAAATGCAAAAAGTAAAGTTACAAGTTTTTCACATTTAACATCCCAGGCAAACATTGTATTCTCCCAGAACGAAACTCGGTCTTCTGAAGTCGTGACGCTACAGTTGTAATTTAAGTCCTTTTCGTACCATTGACAAAGCCTGTTTAATAATCAAGAACATGGGTGTATATGTCCTCAAGTGTCACATGGCCGTCCAGAAGGTTGTAATATAAACGTTACCAAATGAGAGCATTTAAAAATAATTCCGTATCCTTCTGCTTGTCTGGCGGGAGTTACATTTTCCGTACAGTCTTTGAAGTATGCCTGGGTGTGTTCGAGAGACGATCACTGATGAGTCAGTTCGGTCTTTCAACAGCGCATGCCGAAAACGAGGCGCGTAAGAGGTTATGAAGACGCGCGTGCGAATTCTACCCTATCAGCGCAGCCCTACGGGTAGTAGCGCGCGTGATTTGTTCCCGATTGACCTTGCTTTTTTGAAATACCGAACTGGCTCATTATCATTGGACGATTTTTACCTGGTACCCACAGAGCAATGATCACGACGTAACTTTGCCGAGTCGAAGCGAATTTTGACTAAACCAGGTGACTAGCCGTCTCGCAAACAAATGGGTAGCTGCCGTTAGTTGCTTTTCTTTCCTCGCCATTGGTTGGAAAGTCGTCGAAATACGTCAGTCCACTGACGGTCATGACCATACCTGTGGATGAAAAGAAAATAATTATTAGAAAAAAATTCAAAAGAAACTGCTTCCTTAAATTTGAAATGTTTAGACAGCTTAACTACACAAAGCAACAGAACCACGGCTGTGTGTCAAAGGTTAACTGTAGGAAGTACGTTGCCTTTTTCCTGTCAAATTTCCTCACTTAAAATACATGCACATCATGTCCGTGTCTTCTTATTTAAGACCGTGTCCGAAACGGGCTTCCAGAGCTACGGCTAGGTCTATTGTCAACGCGTCTCCACGCATTTCCCAATGGAGTGAAGACCCAGACCTAGCTCTAGACAAGAGATTCGGATGCCGCCTAAGACAGAGAGTTGATCAGTAAAAGCAGAAATTTTACAATTGAAGTCCACACGGGATAGTCTGGATCTACACCCTTTCTTCCTATTTTCCTACTTTTAACTAGTCCATTCACAAGTCCTTTTCTAAGTAACAGGCTGAACAACTATAAGAGAATGCTTTTTGTCAGAGTTCATTTGGATATAGCTTGTGACTTGGTTTCATCCTATACCCCCAAGGGTGTATGTAAAATCATATATGAATCAGAGGATTGAGGACTGTTCGGGTTAAAAGTGAATGACCC